CGATAGTCTAATTTGATGTGTGGCCTTTTACCTTGAGGAAATTATTAATGTTGAGGTTACTATCAGATGTCACAAAATATTGACTTCCAATTTGATGTGTTGCCATCTGACTTTATTAATTTGTAGTATCGCTGTTATTCGGCAATGGCAACCATTTTAATACCCTCCACCATTTCTGCAGAGGGTATATTAGGTTTGTCATTCCGTTTGTAACTCCTCGAAATATTCTTAATAGACCCTAAGAAGTATATATATCCTGGATCAGCGTAAAATTCTACAGGCAGGTCAAGTTCGACGATGGGCTATATCGGCCCACGATATCGTATGGCCCCCATATAATGGTACCGCCCGAAATTCGGTATTATAATGATTTTAGGCACATTTTTAGGTTAAATTGTCTGAAATTCTACACAAAAAGTTTTTTTGTACTTTAGCGCCTGTAAGAGAATTGTTTATATAGGTTCACGATATCGTACATCCCCAATATAACGGTACTTCCCGATATTCGACATTTCATCATTTTATCCAAACTTTTCAATGGAATTGTCTCAAAATCCATACAAGGAGTTCTTTCTGAGTACTTTAGCCCCTGAAAGAGAGTTGTCTACATAGGTCCATGATATCGTATATCCCCCGTATAACGGTACCTCCCAGTATTTTGATGATTGTAGCCAAATTTTTCAATGGAATTGTCTTAGAATCCACACCAGGAGTTGTTTCTGAGTACTTCACCCCCTGAAAGAAAATTGTCTAAATAGTTCCACGATATCGTATATCCCTCGTATAACGGTACCTCCCAATATTTGATGTTTTGATGATTTTAACAACATTTGTGGCCGGAATTGTTTCAAATTTCGTATTTAAAGTTCGTATTTGAAATTACAGTCTGTGATAATAAATTACTTATGCGGATCCACGATTCAAGATCCAAATTTCAAATTTGATTTGACAGTACATTGTCCCAGCAGCTGTGTCGATGCGTCTACCTATATTCTTCTACCATGATGTGTATTTTCTGTATCTATGAAAGCCTGGCCTACACTACTTAAATGCGTCCCATTCTAGTATTCTTTTAACTGATTTTAAACATCGTTTACAGATTCCTACCAACTTTGCCAAACATTTGGCCTCCAATGTACACCTTGTTTTTTTCCACTTTTAGCCGAAATAATACGCCAAAAAGTACCTCCCATTAAAGGTTGTTGAATAATTTACTACATGTTAAATAAATATTAGATTTTGCATGTGTTACAAAAATCCATCCATCCATGCATGACTATTATCACACTTTATACAAGTGCTAAGCGGACGTATGGCAAGGTAAATGGCTTAAGTCGAAAATATTAATAAAATATTTAGAGCTAAAATTAAATTTTTTGTTAATTTAATTTAACTGAGAAAATTCTGGTGCCGAAAATTTGTAATTCCGAGTGCCGTTGTAAATTAGCCTTATTTGCTAATGTGATTTAATCACTTTGGCTTTAAAATCGACCCCCCCATAGACATTTCAATTTGCATGTGTATGGCGTAAGGTCATCTAAACGTCAGCTTGAAATGTGCGAATAATTTCGATGACATAAAAGAACTAAACGTAATATGTGCCTTCTCGGTGTGTTTTGTTGCATAATGAACGATGAAGTTCATGTCCATCACGCACACACACTAAAACAAATCACAACGCTCATGAATTTACTATCGAAATCATAAATATACTAAATAAATATTCCTATTTATTTTTATATTGTTCTTTTGAGGTCAAGGTTTAACAAGGTAAATAAATAAATAAATGGCGATCGTAGCCACCACCAAGTGGCAAAAATTCGTTGACTGGTCAAATGCAAAATTAGCGTACAATGAACTCACTACAAATTCAATTAAATTTATCACACTCGTCTCGTAAATTGAAGAAGAATGTCTCTATAAATAGAATAGGACCATAATATAGTATAGAATAGATGCACATCTGTCACTGAACGTTAGACTATTTGTCAAAAGGCGCTTGGAAAATGATTGGCGGGAAAAAGTGTGAGATTTAAGGTGAGAATATATAAAACGATTTTTGACTCGCGTAAGTCATGGGCTGGCTTTTGGTAGAAGAATATAGGTAGATGCATCAACGCTTTTCAAAATGTTTTAAGTGCTTTGTCAAAAATAAGTCGATTTTTATATGTTTTCTTATACGACGCAAATCGGAGGTTGTAACGATATGTATTTTTCAACAATTTTTACAAATTTCAATAATTTTTCATTCACCATTTTCAATATTAAAATCGGTTTGACAATTCATTGTCCCAGCAGCTGTGTCGATGCGAGCCATGGGCTGGCTTCTCCGTAGATGAACAAAGGATTTTTAGGTTGACTTAGTTCGATTTTGGCCCTACGCTTATTTGTTATTTTCCGAAGAAGCCAGCCGATGACTTAAAGATGAGAGTACATAAACAGCTTGAAGTCTTCGCATGGCATATTTTGTCACATATCATAAAGGGATGCCTGAGCCGCACTCAAATTCTACCTTTATTTTCCTTTATAATTTGACATTAATATGTCTCGTCATGATGCCAAGTTGCATAAAAACATTTTATGTATTCCCACCTTTACTTTTACATTTTAGTGAAGGGCCGTATTTAAACAGGTTCTATAGTAGACTACGGCAGTTAGCGTAAAATATCGCATCGAAATCGATCGATTTTTTCAAACCAATTTTGAAATTAAAAGTTTTGCATGAAAAATTATTTAGATTTGTAAATTTTAAAAAACAAAATTCTTGATTGTGTATGGTGCTAAACTGATGTGTGGCCTGAAGACTTAAAGATATTTGGCAATTGAACTGTGGTAATTGTTATCGATAAATGTGAAATCGACAAATAAAGTTTAAATGCATTAAAAATACACATCTATAGATCATGGTAGAAGAATACAGATAGTCGCATAGTCACAACTCCTGGGACAATGAACTGTCAAACCAATTTTGGAATTAAAACTTTTGCATGAAAAATTATTTAAATTTGTAATTTTTTTTAAGAAATGCTTATCTAAACAACCTCTGATAGACGTCGTATAAGGAAACATATAAAAATCTACTTATTTTTGAAAAATCATTTAAAATTTTTTTGAAATATCAATGTTCCCAAGCGTTGATGCATCTACTGTATTCTTTTACCATGCAATTTAGTGAAGGGTCGAATTTAGCGTAAAATCGATCGATATTTTAAAAACAGGATGTAATTGTGAGAGGTTATAGCGTTAAATTGATGTGTGGCCTGACGACTTAAAGACAATTGAACTGTAGTAATTCTTATCGATAAATGTGAAATCGACAAAAAAAATTTAAGAGGATAAAAAAATACACATGCATAGCTTCATGACAAAAAATATTTTTTTTTTAAAAATCCACGATATTCAGATTTTAAAATTAAAAGAAAATGTCCTTCTTCGAAATGTACGCACAAATTGCGTTTTGTGGCAAAAATATATTATTTGGTCTGTTCCAAAACTGCAAGAATGTCCAAGTTTTTACTACAACAATCGATTTTCCCTTCATGATATCAAAAAAAAATTACAAAACTAGTAAATTCTTGGAGATTCTGGAACGACCCTATTGTTTATGATTTCAAATTCCCTACATTTATATTATATAACAAGTAAAAAAGCAACAAAGTTCGGCAGGGCCAAACTTTTTATACCCTCCACCAATCGGAAGGAACTTGCAAATTTTAAAAAAAATCCGTCGAAAAATACCGCAGAGATGAAAAACTTGTTGCTGGATAAGTAATCTTTTTTCATAGGCTGTAGTAACAATTCCGAACTTCAAATACCAAATTTAAAAGAATTCAACTGAATAATGTCGCTAATATCATCAAAATAACGATTATCGGGAGGTGCTGCTATATGGGGGCTATACGAAGGCGTGGACCTGCACAGACAATTTTCTGTCATAGGCTGTAGTACCTATTACGAACTTCACATACGAAAAATTCCAATGAATAATGTCGCTAAAATCATCAAAATACCGAATATCGGGAGGTACCGTTATATGAGGGCTATAGGAAGACGTGAACCTGCACAGACAATTTTCTGTCATAGGCTGTAGTATCCATTACGAACTTCAAATACCAAATTTGAAACAATTCCGGTGAATAATGTCGCGAAAATCCTGGATATACCGAATATTTCGGGGTAACGTTATATGGGTGATATACTTAAAAGAAGACCTATAGAAACCTTTCAGGGGATAAAGTACTCAGATGGAACTCCTTGTGTGAATTCTAAGCCGATTCCATTAAAAAATATGGCTAAAATCATCAAAATACCGAATGTCGGGAGGTAAAGTTACATGGGTGTTATGCGAAATCGTGGACCTATATAGACAATTCTCTTTCTGGGGGTAGAGTACTCACGAAGAACTTCTTGTGTAGAATTTCAGACAATTCCATTGAAATCATCAAAAATACCGAATATCGGGAGTACCGGGCTATTCTTTATCGTGGACCGATATAGCCCATGTTCGAACTTGACCTGCCTGGATACAAAAAACTGATCTCTGCAAACTTTTAGCTTCCTAACTTAATTCGTTTTGATTGCAACAGACGGACGGAAAGGGCTAAATTGTCAAAGAATTTTACGCTGATCAAGAATATATATACTTCGTTGGGTCTAAAATTATTATTTCCATGACTTACAAACGGAATGACTAACTTAATATACCCTCCATACTATGTACGGTGGAGGGTATAAAAATAGCAGATTCTTGCTTCTGGAACCGAGCAATATTCTTTGTGTATTACTGTGAGGATTAATCTTATAAAATTCCCGCATCCTTGAAAGAAGTTCATTCCCGTAACATTCAGGCGATCGTTGTTATTCCACGAAAAATAACTACCGATTTTTATTAAATACCCATAGTCCAAATTGGTGTGTGGCCAGTTGCCTTTAATAAATTTTTTCATATTACAGTAATTGTGTAACCCCGGCTTTGCGCCACCCACTTTTCCAGTACGTACCGTATTCACAAATTCAGCAATATGTCCTGATATCAAATAATTCTCCTCACACCAGTCCACAGGTGAACTACCGGGTCGAAAATGTTCCCAAGCTAGGGTGTATATATCAAGGGTTGCCATTTTTGTAGATGGTAGATGTTTTTGGTCCAATGTGTATCAACTAAACAATTGCTGCTAATTAATCCTAAGATGCTTGGATGATGAAGAACACGCGTAACACGCACACGTGCACGCACACACACACACACTCTCTCGTTGAACAATTACACCTTTTACACGTTTATTTTTTTTTTTTGCTTTAGATGCTTTTCTCTTACGCTTATTTGTGCATAATATCGACGATGTGCGGTAATTGAATTCGCCAAGGGGCGACCGACCGACCGAAAGAAAGAAACAAACAAAAAAACAACAAGGAAAACAAAAGTGCTGCAGATTTTTGTCAGGTATTTCAATCCATTTGTGTGATTTTCCTTTGTCAGGTTTATTGTGGCTCTTTGTGCATATTTCGTTGTCGATTCATAGGGAGGTATTATGTTATTTTTATTATTTCTTCATTTATATCTCCTTGTTATTGTTATTATTATACTACCTTTCTGTGGCTAGCATTTAATGGCCTTTATTGTTGTTTTATTTATTTTGCCAAAAAAAGTCTTTTATTCTATTTTATTATGTAATTTTTATGGTCGATTATTTTTACAAAATTTCTATATGATATGTTTATTTTATGACACTATTTTTACCACTTTTGTTTTTGTTTACTTTCATTTAACGAATATTAGTAGTAGTCGTATTATTATTGCACTAAAAAATTCTATTTCCGCTTAGGATTGTTTGTATTTCAACCATCCGTCCATCCATTCAATGCACAACAACTACGGACAGCTAGCACTCTGGACAACAAACAATTAGGCTATGACGGTACACTACGGCGAAGACGACACTCCGTTTATGCCATCTGTGTGGTGTGCCTCACTAAATGTCACGTTCAACTAAGTTCTTCTTTTTGTTTACATGACGGACGCCACTACTACAGAACAACGTTGCTTTGTTATTGTTGTGATAAACAAAATAAATGGATTTTTCATTTGTGTTTTCGCAAAAAGAGATAATGAGAACAATACAATGAAACAGCTGAGAAGTTGACCAACAAACACAAACACTCATTTGCACACATCATGTGCTCTAATGTAATCTCTTCTCACTCTCTTTGTTGTGGTATAGGGTTGGAAAACACCGTTAGAGAACTAGGTCAATGTATTAAAAGGAAATAACACAAACGTTGTGTAATAACGCCCTATTTCAATTGAACAATGTGATAGGGTTGCCAATGGCGGGGAAATTATAAACGGCAAAAAGTGAGAAATTTGAAATGACAGAAAATAATAAGAAATTCAAGTAAAAAAGAATCAGAAAAAAGAATTCAAGTAAAAAAATCAGAGAAAGAAAGAAATCAGAATGTAAGCTAAACCTTAAAGGGAAATAGAAGTTCTATGTATTCAAAACCAGAATAGTAGACTAACATAAAACAATTCAGTAAAACTGTAAATCTAAAGTAGTATCTTATGCATTGTTCCAGTACCTGCAAAACTCTACTACCTTTGCAATTTTATTCGATATCATAAAGAAAGAAGAAGAATCGGTTGTCGTAGTAAACACTTTAACATTCTTGCACTTCTAGAAGAGAGAGAAGTGAGAATACATAAAAAGTTTTTTTGACTGGCTTAAATCGTCGGCTGGCTTCTTCGTAGATGAACAAAAGAGTTTTAGGTTGATTTAGGGCGATTTTGGCCCTACGCAACTTTCCGTCGTATACATGAGGGCTATACGAAGACGTGGACCTGCACAGACAATTTTCTGTCGTAGGTTGTAATACCCATTACGAACTTCAAATACCAAATTTGAAACAATTCCGATGAATAATGTCGCTTAAATCATAAAAATGCCGAATATCGGGTGGTACGGTTATATGAGGGCTATACAAAGACGTGAACCTGAACAGACAATTTTCTGTCATAGGCTGTAATATCCATTGCGGACATCAAATACCAATATAGAAACGATTCATATGAATAATGTCGCTAAAATCATCAAAATATCGAATATCGGGAGGTAGCGTTATATGAGGGCTATACAAAGACGTGGACCGGAACAGACAATTTTCTGTCATAGGCTGTAATATCCATTAACAACTTCAAATAACAAATTTGAAACAACTCCGGTGAATAATGTCGCTAATATCAGCAAAATACCGAATATAGGGAGGTACCGTTATATGAGGTCTATACAAAAACGTGAACAGGCACAGACAATTTTCTGTCATAGGCTGATATATCCATTACAAATTTTACAGAAATTTCAAGGCATAAAAATCTGTGGCGAAAAAATCGTTCCACTTCGTTGTCGACTTACGCATCCCTATATCCTTCTGCAATTTTTTTCGACATTATAAAGGAAAAGTCGCTATCATAGTAGTATATTGGAGCAGAAGGTTCTAAGATTATTGTTTTGGTTGTTAGTACTGGCCATAGATATGTTAAAATTTCAAAACTTTTTTTGTTTTCAAAAATAAGTAGATTTTTATATTTTTTTATACGACGCCAATCGGAAAATAAAATGATGTGCATTTTTTAAAAAATTTAAAAAATTTTCATTCAAATATTCAATTAAATTGTCCCAGCAGCTGTGCCGATGCGACTACCTGTATTCTTCTACCATTGTACTGGCATTTTCCGCGATAATATCGATATAAAATACTCTCAGTCGATATTCAGTTTTAAATTAAACTATCGATATTTCCATCGATTATTTGCCATCTCCAATCCCTTGTCGGAAGCGTCATCATTAGTAAATACATCATTCATTAAGAACTTTATTTACTTTGTTTATAAACATTAGAAACACACAGCAGCTCAAGTAAAGAACCATGTCCTCGGCTATTTATTTAGAAAACTATTTGGATGGTAAGTAATTAAAGCGGAATGCGTGTTCATAACATAACGAATCTTGCACTGAATAACACAACAATTTCATACATGTACATACAACAACTCAAAAAAAAAACAACAATGTTTTCCCTTTTCATTGGCAACCCTCCATCCAATCTCATCTCCATCAACAACCTACCACCTGCACCTCCAAAACCAACCAAACCAACAATCATTATCCATCTTTCATTCTCATCTTGTTAAAATAAAATCACCAACAACCAATGAAAACGACACATAAAAAAATCTACCAATGTTCTACTACTGAAGTATTATCCAATATAGGATTAGAGTCCTTACCCACTGAGTTAGAAAGGAATTTTAAATTGATGCGCAAGCTGGATGATCGAGCTCAGACCGCAATGAAGAGTATTGACAGCCATGCCAAAGAATTTATGCGCAAATTGGCCGATAACTCGTCACAGATGAGCGAAGAGGAACGTAAAGAGCGTTTGCGCGACATTCAACAATTGTTTGTTAAGGCCAAGGAATACAGCGATGACAAAGTCCAATTGGCGATACAAACCTATGAATTGGTAGACAAGCAAATAAGGCGGCTGGATAATGATTTGGCCCGATTTGAAGGTGAAATTCAAGAGAAGGCCTCCTCAACGCGTGGCAAGTCAGAGGAAGCGCAAGTTAAGAGTGAGTTTTGAAACGTTTTGCTTGTTCTGCAATATTTTTTTAAGTATATTTTTGTTTGATATTCTAGAGGGCCGCAAAAAAACCAAAGATGCCAAGGCAACGGGTAAAAAGAAACGCATCACATCCTCAGATGACGAGGCCAATAACAGTGCAACAGCAGCAGCGGCTGCGGCCGGTGGTCAAGGTGGTAAAAAGAAAAAGCAGAAGGTAAATCAAGAAAAAGAAACACGCAAGGGGGGTCAAAAGGTAATTCATCTCATCCATTTCATCATCTAATAATTATTTTTGAATTATTTTTTTGTGATTTTCTCCTACGAGCAGAGTAAAATTGTGATATTGTATTTCCTTTATGAGTATGTTGGTAATATGGTATGCTTTTGTAGTTTTTCCATTGGAAAATTGCTTTGATAACATCTTTCATATGTCACGCGGTATTCATAATCTAATACCTATCTAGATATTTGAAGATCTAACAAAATCACTTTATCATTTTGAACATGAAGCGAGGTATTTTGATTCCATTTATGAATTCGTCCGTCCGTTTCCAGATAGCATATATTTTCAAATTGAGCCATTTTTTGGTGCTCCTACAAGTTTTTTGGTCATTTGTTGATTATCTTAAAAATTAGAAAACAAAATCATCAACCCTTTTACAAATATATTTCCTTCTATAAAAAAAAACTTTCCTTTTTATACCCTCAGTCATATGCCTAAAGAGGGCATATATCATTTGATACGACCAAAACGTGCCTCATCGAAATATCGATTTTAGATCCTAGGTCTCTTAGGACCAAATCCGTTTTAGGATATTTGGAGTCGTTCTAGCGATGTTCGTCCGTCTGCCGATTTGATCCAAACTTGGTACATCGTAATATTATTGTCAAACTTAGATCGAGTTCGGAGATGGGCAATATCGGTCCACTCGTTCTGGTACCTCTCCCACAAAATATCAACATTTTCAAGAAAGAAAGAAGGAGAAAGGATAATCCGATTTTGCTCCAACTTTGCAAATCCTAATATTTGCATCAGTGCTATGTCAGGTGCGAAAATGGGCAATATCTGTTCACTCCATTGAGTTCCTCCGCACAAAGGGTCAAAATTTTAAATAATTATAACGCTTATAAAATGTGATGTAAGTGCCCGATTGTCTTCAAATTACACACATAACAATATTTTTATTAATCCAAGGTCTGGTTTATGAATGGAATATATCCGTCCACTCCTTGTGGTACCTCGCCCACAAGTGCTCAACATTTTGAATATCCATGAAGCTCATAAAATGGGAAATTAACATCCGATTTTATTCCAACTTGGCGCATCTCAATAATTCCATCAACACATGATCTGTTTTAAAGATGGTAGAGATCGGACCATTCCTTCTGGTACCTCCCCCACAAAAGGTTAAAGTTTTGCATAACCAAAACGATCATAAAATCCGAAATAAGCATCCGATTCTCTTCAAATTATACATATTGCAATATCTTTATTAACCCAAGGACTGGTGTGAAATTGGGATATATCGGTCCACCCCTTCTGGTACCTCTCCCACAATGGGTCAAAATTTTGAATTTTCAAGAAGCTTATAAAACACGAAATTAGCATCCGATTTTATACATACTTGATCTTTATACATACTTGACATCTCACTATTTCCATCAACACAAGATGATAGACATCGCTCCATTTCTTCTGGTACCTCCCCCACAAAGGGTCAAAATTTTGAATATGCAAAACGTTCATAAGATCCAAAATAAGCATCCGATTCTCTGCAAATTACACACATCGCAATATTTTTATTAATCCGATGTCTGGTTTGAAGATGGAATATATCGGTCAACTCCTTCTGGTACCTTCCCCACAAAGGGTCAAAATTTTGAATAATCAATCGGGTTCTCTTCAAATTACACACATCCCAATATTTTTATTAAGCCAAGGTCTGGTGTGAAGATGGAATGTATCGGTAAACTTCTTCTGGTACCTCCCCCACAAGGGCTCAACATTTTGAATATCCATGAAGCTCATAAAACGGGAAATTAACATCCGATTCCAATCCGATATTTTTATCTGAATTAGACAAATACTTCGAGCCAATTTTTTTATTACCCCACGCATATTTCAACATTTTCCAAAAATTTGCCCATATCTAATATAAAGTATAGGAAGTAGCCGATATAGTCCAAATCTGGCACCTTGTAATATTTATATCAGTCTTAGGTCAGATATGAATTGGTCAATATTGGCCAACTGCTTCGAAACCTCCCCCATAAATAGTCAACAGTTTGTATAATCATAACTCAAGGCTGGGGTTATACGTCTGTCGGCAAAACCGACTGATACTATTTTACTTGTTTTCTCTTAAAACCTTTCTGAATATTAATGACCGGTAACCTCATTTTTTATTTAACTGCATAGTTCATAACATCATAACTCAAAACGCATGTTTAATCATTAATTAAAATAAGTATTTATTTCCAATTTGTAATACGGTTATTAATTAATTAAATTGCTTTTATTTTATAAAGCAGAAAAATGTCGATTTGGATGATTCAGAAAAGGAGTCATGTCACACGGCTGCCACACATCCGAGTGATGTTCTCGATATGCCCGTTGATCCCAATGAGCCCACCTACTGTTTGTGCCATCAAGTTTCCTATGGTGAAATGATTGGCTGTGATAATCCAGATGTAAGTTTTGATGTTTGTTTTCTGAAAATTTGTTGTTAACAAACCTATTTTTTATTTACAGTGTCCCATTGAGTGGTTCCATTTCGCTTGTGTCGGCTTGACCATCAAGCCCAAAGGCAAATGGTTTTGTCCGAAATGTACACAGGATCGAAAAAAGAAATAATATGCGCTCTGGTTTTGTTCTGTTCAGTTTACTGCTCTCATAAAGTTATCATGTTGTAGTATTAATGTGTTTTGTATTATAATAATACGTAAAGTAATTTTTATATAAATAATAAATAGTTTTAAATGTAAAAAAAAAGGCAAAGTAATTTGACTTTGGATCTTGTTTCGTTGATGATAGACTTTTTTACTTTTATTTGAAATGATATAACCCAATTTTATATACCAATTGTGTTTGTAATCTTTACATTAATCATTTTTCTCAGTTCATTTCGATTGCACTTCTCCTTGCGTAAAAATAAAAAGCCTTTTTTAGTTTGTTTAATTCGATTAAAATTCCAACATATTTATTCTTTCGTATTTAGCATTCTTATTTGTTTTACATACATTTATATAGAATATCATTCATCGTATAGGTATATATTTTTAACAATCTTTAATTCTCCATTTGGGATATTTTTTCGTTATAATTCGTTCGAATAGTTTGTGTGAGATCGAAGCTAAACAAAAAAGATTATTTAAAATCATAACATTTCCTATGGATTGCCCATTGCCAAAATTTTGATATTTAGAAGGAGAAACAATCAAATTCTTAATTATTTAAAAACAAATGCTTAATATTTCAATTACAAAAAATGCAGTTATATTGCACACGGAACGCAGAGAGACTTTATTTTCCCAATTTTTTAATTTTTTGTTTTTACAAATTTTGGGAAAAATATTAAAATTAAATTCTAAAAATATTAGATTTTGATGAGTTCTACATTTTTTTTAAGAAACGTTTTAAGATTATTTTTTTTAAATATTTATTAAATTTTTTTTTAATTTAAAATTTTTTTTCTTTAAATTTAAATATTTTTTTAATTAATTAGTTTTTAAATTTAATTTAATTTTCTAAAATTTAAATAATTTTTTTTTAAATTAAAATGTTTTGTAAATATTTTTTTTTAATTAAAAAAATTAAATTTAATTAATTTTTTTTTAAATAAAAAAAAAATTGAAATTAAAGAAACAAATTTTTTAAATTAATTTTGTTTTAATAAAAAAAATTAAATTAAAATATTTAAAAAAATAATCTTAAAAAAAATTATTATTTTTTCAAACGTATTTTTTTCTATATCAACCTAATAAAATCTAATATCTTTAGAAAAGATTCTAATATTTTTTTTTTTTTTTTTAAATTTTTTTCAACATTTCATTTTTAGGGTTAATAAAAAACGATCATAAAATTAACCGATTTGAAGATACAAAATTTTCATTTTTTTACCACTTCCATGGAGAACCAAGAAAAAAGAAATAGGCATAGATAGAAAGAGGAGATTTTTTTTCAAGTCTTAATTTTCTCCATTATTTAGCTAAACTAAATATTTGGTATCGTAATTGGGCTTAATTTCTTTTTTTTACGGTTAGTGAACCCACATTGCCATGGCTCTAGAAAAAAAGGGGAATGTGGGAGACATTTTGAATTTCAAAAAGAGTAGCAAACCATTTGCCAATCAATACCGAATTAGCCTCTTAATGCAGACATCTGCGAAATCCATAAATTGGGGTTTCAATTTGGAAAATGGGCCAAGGCTACAAGCACAGAAATTTTCAATTTCTAAAAAAAAAAAATTCTTCAGACCTCCCATTGCTGGAAAATGAAACAGAAGAGGAAATCTTCTGTGCTTGACACCCCAGCTTTCTTTGCTCTGTAACCAATTTTTCTCTCTCCCTCCCCTTTTCCCCTTTTTTCTTTACTAATTTCTGCCCCTATTCGCTTTTCATTTTTCCTTTTCCTTTAAGCTTTCATTGTGGTTTCTATGCCTTAAAATCTTCTTAAACCAACTATTGCGCGACTCATTGGCCGTGTAGTCATCATTAATGGTTGTGAAATTATTAAAGACATCCTTCATGGCCAATGCCTTGCGATAGGAATAGTTTTTCGTGGCATGATACATGTTATGTAAAACATCAGGCATTTGTTTTTGTGCGACCCAGGCCTTGACACTTTGCGGTATTGGCAAGCCGGGATCATCGTAATACGTCAAAACATAATGGACACCGGGTTCTTGAAAACTGCGATATGGTTTAATGACCATAAAACTCCAATAGTCTGTGACACGCACCTTGTCGCCATACTGGGGATAATTGGGATGGGTGGTGCCACGATTTGCCACCATCATAACCTTCCGTTTGTCATCGCACACAAAACGACGACAATACACATAATCACGATTGCTGAACAGCCTGGGCCATTGCATTTCCCAATAGATGAGATGGGAATTGGTTCCCGGCACCGGATCTTCTTCAATCAAATGTAAGGCCACAGCAGTGTTATCCCACTCCTTGCGATAATCCAAATCAACTTGAACATGCATCAAATCAGCTGCCGAAATATCATTGAAATAGGCATATACCTTATACGAGTACATGGCTGAGCGTTCTTCTCTGCGCCATATCGAAAATTGATCTTTGCTCATGTACGGTTCCCATGGCTGTTCTTCGGCATTTTGTATTAAGGCCCTGCCCATTTCAGCCGCACCATCTTTGTAAAAATGAAATGCTCTCCTACAATTTCCTCTCATTGGCTTTTTCTTTTCATTGACACCAGCACCACCACCATTACCGGTCGCTGCAGGACACTTCTTATTGCCCACCAGACAATAACAATATTTCATTTTATACTCCTTGCATAGATCACAAAGCTTATTTTGTGGTAGGGTGTTGATAAATTCAATATCACCCTGGCAGGCTTCAAAATTTAGCAGGCTTAGGCGCTCAGAACTCCAATCGAATCCCCCCGAAACTCCATTTGATGCCGTCAAGCCAATGGCACCCACAGCACTTAGGACAAAGTTTTTGCCCTTGAATTGCGGCAATTGTCGGTGATAGGAACGTATTAGCATTTTAAGCCCCTGCGGTCCATAGACCCGATGATAAAATGTAAACAGCTGCTGCAACCTTCTCGAGCGCTGGGCCAAGATGCTCTCGCATTGATAGCACCATGATTTCAATGCGGCATTTGAGCTATGTTTTATATTTGACACAATTCGACTGAACACCATGGTTTGATTTGTCGCACAGAACTTTATTGATGCATTTAAAAACGGCCGAGATAATTACAAAAGTTATTCCACTTTTATTGCTTGCATAACCATATCACAACATTGTGTGTAGTCGGCTTTCGAGAATGTACCAAAACTATTCACGATTTTAACTGAGACCTGCCTTTCTTAGCCCCCAACTGTCTCTATTTCATACAATGAACGTAAAATTGATGTAATTTTCCCGTTTAGACTGTTTTAATTGGAAATTTTGAGAATTTTGCAAATGAAACTATGCCGTCTGACCGAAATGCTGCGAAATTGATTGAAATACATGTGCAGCACCCACCAAATGTCAAATGCATGGCAATAGCTGGTTTCGTTTCTTGGGGCCGCTCATCGTTACATTAAAATGTTAATGTCGTTTGTCTCTGTAAATGGTGAGTGAGAGAGAGAGAGAGGGAATTCAGAGAATACATTACGTTAGTGTATGACAGAGAATTTACAGGTCTGGGTCTGTTTACCTTTAATATTTAAGGGCATTCTATCCTTTGGAGATATTACAGACTCCATCTTTTTGAGAAAACACGTGAAGAGACCTAATGTCATAAAATGTAAACAAAGTTGACCTCAACATGGTTGTCAGTTTGTGTTTACTGTTAACATGCCATTAGGGGGGTTCACACTTATGAATGTCAATGAGTGAGCAAACATTTAATGGAACATGTGGGAGAATTGCTTAATAGAAAATATGAGAAATGAAATTTCATGTAGTAAAGCATAAAAAGAATAATTTGACAAATAATATAGATTTATAAAATGTAAAATTGTGTGGAAAAATAAAAATACGGTTTCTTCTTGTTTCAACAACATAGCACAATGTAAAGTGGGTTGATAACATGAAAAACCATTTTTGACAAAGGAACAGCAAACAGAAAGAAGAAATAGAATATCAAGATTGTTTAGTAAAAAGTAAATGGATATTAAAGAAATCGAAAGTAATCGGAAGCTAATATTTTAATATATGTTCCATGATATTTTTTCCCCAATTACTGGCAACCCTTTTTAAACAGTGAAGAATAGAATATTACTCAAAATCATACACAAAGTTGCAACTCTTCGGAAATGTCTCGTGGTGGTCTTGTTTATTTTTTTAATTGCGTGATTTTTATGGAAATTCTCTAATTTTTGTTAAATTCAATGAAAACTTAAAAATTCTGATGTACACAAAGCATCACCATGGCTATGAGACGACCGCGAATAAAAGTGCAAGCGAATATTGCATTAAATTCGAAGCGTAAACCCAAAGTAGCAGACGTGAAAACTGAAAATGTTCCAACAAGAAATGAAACATGTCCGTCTGAAAGCTCTAAAGGAACAACAGAAGAGGAAGTAAAGTTAGCCAAGGAACCAGAAAAAACGCAGGATACCACCGCGAAAGTTAGTGAAAGCAGTCTGGATGGCTTGGGTGTAGGCCAAAAAATAATTTGGCAAATAAAATACGTCTATAAGATGTGATATTGTGTGGAAACAAATAAATGAGACTTCTTCTTGTATCAAAAACATAGCACAATGTAAAGTGGGTTGATAACAGGATCAACCATATTTGACAAAGAAACGGTGAGCAGAAATGGATATTAAAGAAATCGAAAGTAATCGGAAGCTTATATTTTAATATATGATATTTTTCCCCAATTACTGGCAACCCTCTTTAAACAGTGAAGAATAAAATATTACTCAAAATCATACACAAAGTTACAACTCTTCGGAAATGTCTCGTGGTGGTCTTGTTTTTATTTTTTTAATTGCGTGATTTTTATGGAAATTCTCTAATTCTAATTTTTGTTAAATTCAATGAAAACTTAAAAATTCTAATGTACACAAACCATCACCATGGCTATGAGACGACCGCGAATAAAAGTGCAAGCGAATATTGCATTAAATTCGAAGCGTAAGCCCAAAGTAGCAGATGTGAAAAGTGAAAATGCTCCAACAAGAAATGAAACATGTCCGTCTGAAAGCTCTAAAGGAACAACAGAAGAGGAAGTAAAGTTAGCCAAGGAACCAGAAAAAACGCAGGATACCACCGCGAAAGTTAGTGAAAGCAGTCTGGATGGCTTGGGTGTAGGCCAAGAAAATGCGACTGCAGAAAAAGAGGTTAATTCCGCTGACTCGATAATCGATGCAATTGACACGACTGCAAATGATAAAAGCCACAATGACAAACCAGAAGCAACAAATGATGCCCAGTGTACAGATAAGGGCAATGAAGATTCTATAAATAGCCCAAAGACTGGAAATGCCAGCAACAACAATACACAGAAAGATGAACGCAACGATTCGAGCACATTTAAATGTCCGCCCAAGGTAGGATATCAACGTTCCACGAGCCATACATCGAATAATAATGGAACAGATGATGTCTTCTATTCAGACATTGAGGAGAATGCACTGCAAATGGATCTGCAAAAAACCAACAATGACTTTCCCATGTCTCCCTCCAAAAGTCAACAATCCAGACAACGCATTAAAGCAACACCCGTTTTTGGTCAACGACGCAACAGCTTTGTGGGTTCTTCGCCCTCACCTCACACTGCCACAGCAAATGATGAGTGTCCTAGTGGGGAATTTCAAATGCCCACACCAAGAAGAGAAAGACACTTGTCCGGGTCCATGAGCACACATTCAAATTCCAGTTCGTCCCACAATTATCATCACACTCCCCACAAGTATCTACCAAATGGAGTCATGTCGGCTGGTATGGCTCGTGTGCGCACCGAATCCGGTTGCTCGGTATTTTCAGACTCAAATGTTAGTTTACACAAAAGCCGTCGTGCCGATGAACACAAACTTAATTTAAAACGAGAATTTGAAGCCCGCTTTTCGAATGGCGTCCCCGACAAATCGGCCTTGAAAATGTCCGATCTTATATTTTACAATCCCTCCACCAATCCAATGGAACAAAAACCCAATCCTAATATTAAGCTAGAGAGCGGTGATAAGAATACAGGTGAAGATATGAAAAAAGAAGGAAACGATGCCGATAAAAATGATGCTGAAAAAGAAGATGCCATGCCCGTGCCACAGCTAAAACTGAATTCAAATGGTGAGCTAATTTTGGATGATAAATCGTTGGTGATTGAGACAACGGCAGAACAGGAGGCTCGTAAGGTTTTGGCCAATTCTTCGCTAATATATTTAGATGAAAACACCGGCATGAATGGTTTCTATTCGAGGCAGAAACGTACACGCGATTGGCCGCCAGCGGAAACGGTTAAATTCTATCGTTGCCTGCAAACTGTGGGCACCGATTTCTCACTAATGGTACCGCTCTTTCCAAATCGATCTAGGAGAGATTTAAAGCTTAAGTTCAAAAAGGAGGAACGCATCAATGGTAGTCTGATCAATAAGGCTCTGTTATATCCGAAAAATTTCGATATTGAAGAACTTAAAAAGCTGATAGAAGAGGAAGAGAAACAGCGTGAGGAGGAAACAGAACGACTGCGCCAGCTCAGGGAGTCTGCTAGTAAATCTGTTAGGAAGGTTTGTAACCCCACAGTTACATTGACATAACTAAAAGAATATTTTTAACTATCTTATTACATCTCATTTCGTTTTAGCGCAAAAATGCCCGAAGCCATGCAGATCGCACTCTAAAGGCAGGTGAAATTTACCAAAATGAAAACAAACCCGTTCCCAAAAAGCCAAGACGATCAAACAAATCCAATAATGGACAACCAAATCAGGTGATGACACCGCCCCAAACTGAAACACCATCACAGGCCATTACTGAGGACCAGTTGTCCCATAATCACGCAACCACATCCGCCACAATATCCCTCACATCCACCTCTAAGGAAGACCAAACAATTTCTCATGACATAAAGACCGAAGGTGATAAAGTACGGCGAAGGCGACGGCGTGGACCAAACATTAAAAAGGAAAAGGCCTCTGTGCTGCCTCAGCATAATGGTGTGGATGAGGTTGTGCACCTGCCGGAAGATCATGGCATAAACGCATCATCAATTAAACTTGAAAATGTTAAAAATGAACCAATTCACATGTCTTTATATGCCACCAAAACTGAGTACTGCAACGAGGATGACGATGAACAAATTGAAAAAGATGTCAATCTTTTGTTACATTCCGATATGAATGAGGAGGATGAACTGCCGTCGACAAGCCATGGTTCACCCCTAAGAAGAACTTTAACAGTGCCAATTACAGAATCTCCAGATTCTTCGTCATCAAATTCCAGATGCCTTGTCATCGATGATAACTATTGTGATGAACCCATGGATATTGATTTGCCATATGAGGGTCGTACCTTTGTTAATTTGGATGATGGTTCATTTACAACATTGGAGACAAGGCGATCGCCGGCATCGCCACAAAATTATGAAAACGAAACGAGCATTATAAGTCAGCCCACACCATCACCTTCACCGCCAGCAACTTCTCAACTGCCTCACCCACTTTCACAGCCGCCGCCTCAATCACCACAACAGAATTATCATCCATCACAATCACCACGTAATAACACATTGGGCCCGGCCTCCCCAGATCTAGCATGCCAAGATACCAGCTCGTCGTTTACCACAGATCGTGAACTCAACGAACAGGACATACAACGTATACTCACCGAACTGGCTGAAGGCTCCCTGGTGCTTGTCTCCACGCTGGATCCCGATGATCCGGATAAAGTTCTAAACGAAATCTTTATGGTGGACAAAAACACCGGCGATTTGTGTGATGAACCCCTAAATATACCCGATAATATTGTGCAGTGCATTTTATCTGTGATGAGCTAAGAAGAATTTAAGGACATTATTGTTTATTTTATTTTTTGCTGTTCTATTTAAATGTCTTGACTTTTCGAAGCTTGAAAAAATTCGTTCTTATGTTACATTCTTGAAAAGCGTTTTGATTCGATCTTGCGATTTGTTTACCCTATATGAGGGGTATTTAAATGCCGGGGAGAATTTGTTATTGAAACATTTCTATTTTTATTTTTGCTATATATCGCTTAAGCAAAATTGTTTAAACTACTACATAACACCTGCTTTTGTAACTCCATAATAAATTTATATAAATACACATATGTATGTGTGTATTTAAGCATATATAAATACCATTTTCATATACGAGTATGTCGTTTGTAGTATATTTATTATAAAATAATAAAAAAAAAATCATAATTTGTTGTTTCAATAATGTGACGTAACGTTTCTTTATTTTGTTTGGGGGGTTATTTGGGTATTAAGTTACGATGGTATAAATAGTTTGTCTCATTTCTTCCGATTTGGCTCTAGCTCCAGGTTCAAAATCTCGACTACTTTCACGGGCTCAAGCCAAAAATCTTCTGGAGTGGCTAGGGTAGCTTTGAAAGGGCAATTGAGGAGTTGCAGCGTATTGCGCGGTAAACGTTACACTCATCTTTGTCAATTCGTGGCCAATACGAGTTTAGACGACTGCACCATCCTGAACGCAATTGTGACAAAACTACCCTCTTTTGTTGTTGTTGTAGTAGTAGTAGTAGTAGTTAAAATATTCGGCTACCTTAATGGGCTGTAACCAGAGATCTTCTGGAGTGAGTTGGGTAGGTTTGACCGTGCAATTAAAGAGATGCAGCGTATTGTGCGGGTCTCTGTCACACCCGGGTCAACTTTACACCCATCTTCGTCAATTCGTGCCCAATAAGAATTTAGACGACTGCACCATCCTAAACCCAATTGTGATAAGCTATCCTGTTTTGCCTAGGCAGCTAGCGTTCTAAAGCTGCAATGGATGGTGGGTTGAACTCCGAGGACGGCACTCATCCTGATGGCATCTGTGACTGCATCGGTATGAATGCCACTTAGACCCGACCGCTAGGCTCATTGATGTAGAGGCTCTCTCTTGTAGCGTAGAACCTCCCTCTCTGGATCGTGTATAGCCTTCCTGACATGCCTGGGTGGGGGAGTTCCAATTATGGTTTGGATAACTTGTACTATAACACCCATGCAGGTACTGCAACGATAGCACATGATTATGCTGACGTAAGGGGGGGACATCCACCTCCTCATGTAGATGATCCACTGGTGTCATAAGGAGGCACCTTGTCGCTACTCTCAGTGAAGCATCCTGGCAGGTATGAATGTGATTCAACTGCATTGCACTTATATTCGCAGACCACTCTGGAGCCGCATCGCGTTATAAGAGGTCAACAAGGTTTTTTGTCCGCACCCCAAGTGCTGTAGGCTAGCGCCTTGAGGACTTTTCATCTTGTCGCAGATAGCTGTGGCTTGTGCGGACGACTTGAGCATGCTGTCGAATGTGCCTCCTAGAATCTTGGGGTAGTTCGTGGTCGGTAATTTCCCTCGACCTGTACATTCAGCTGTTTTCTCATCTCCGCAGACCATGTGGTAAAGAGTGTGGCCGTTGATTTCGTGGCGGATATTTTCACGTTCCTCGCGTGGTAGTATGCGGCAAGCTACGCGAGATAGAGGTTCAACCCTTCACATATGTCATCGACCACTGGCCCCGATGCCATGATCTTACAATCATCCGCATACGTTACGATGTCTATGGCGTCAGGAGGGGCGGGGAATTCCGGAAAGGTAGAGGTTAAACAGATATCACCCCACCTTTGGAAACTCCCTCCTTCACTCTACGGGCTTTAGACTTCTTGTTCCGGAATTAAACGTACCATTGGCGTCCACACATATAGTTGATTATCCAACGTTTCAAACTTGGCCCCCAGGAACTTAGCGTTCTGGATGACATTTGCAGCAACATCTCTCATCGTAAACTGTGGTGCTTCCTACTGGGCGGGAAGAGATCTGATACGACCAAATACTCATCGCTTCGCCCTGTCGCTCTCGGGGTGCTCGACAAATTGTCGGTTAAAATACTCAACGCACGTTTTCGGATCAGTCACCGTTACGTCGTTAAAAGCGACTCGTGGTCCTATCATTGTTTTTTCCAGGGTTCGAGAGCGACATAAGCGCTACCCACAGTATGCTGATATCGGTTGAGAACTTTCGTAAGGTACTCGACTCTCGGCGTATCCAGCTGTTTCAGCATTACCTTTGAGATTCCGTCTGGGTCCAACGCTTTGGATGACTTAGCGTTCCGGATGACATTTACAACATCTGTGGTGGTTCCATCTCTGCGGGAAGTGATCTGATACGATGTAGTACTCTTCGCTTCGCACCTGTCGCTCTCGGGTTGCTCGACAAATTGTCGGTTTAAATACTCAGTGCTTCTCTTCGGAATATTCACCGTTACGTCGTTAAAAGTGACCCGAAGTCCTATCATTCCTTTTTTCCAGGGTTCGAGAGCGACTTAACCGCATCCTCATATCGGTTCCATTGTAGCAACACTTCAGATGGTCTAACCACCTTTTTCCTCTTATGCTCCTGTATCAACAGGTTGACTTCCATTCCATCAAATCACTGATTCCAGGATCAGTAGGGTTGGTATGACGGAGATCATCATGGATCATGCAGCTCGAAGCTTTGATCGAAGCTTTTTGATAGCCAAATTCGTGGAGAAACAGAGAAATATTTTCGATGATTTTTATTTATTTTTTTTTTCAAAGCCGTAATGCCCAAATACAGCCCTACAAGTCCTTAGGTCTCTACCGGAACTTGTACATATTATTCAATGAAACTTCAAATTATTATATCTTTACTCTGACGCATTCACTTTCTATAATTCAAAACACTCTCGATGTTGAACATGATTTTTTTTTATTTATTTGTAATTTATTGATTTCAAATATGTATGTATGTATGTATTTTGTAATTAGAGTACATCTGCTGCAAAAAGGGATAATTTGAAATGTGAGTGTGTTTTATTTGTATATATGTATATAATTCTATATAAACAGAAATATGTATAAACTAATAGCCAGACCTTATGATGTGATCGATATAAAAAAATACGTTATTTCAATAATAAAAAAAATAATAATATTTTGAAATGTAAGAGGTGTTTTGTGACAAAATTAGTGTTTTTGTTGTTGTTCTTATTTATTACAAAAAAAAATCCATCATACAATTAATTTGAAGTATGTTCAATAGATTTAGAAATTATTCCATATTTAGTTGTTTGTAATAAGATTAGTTATTGTTTTGTTTGTTTTTTCTTTTTGTTTTTAGATTTGAAATGTACAACCTCTACACTTTGCACTAAAATAATGTAAGAATTTTCCAAAGTCATATTAAGTAAAAAATAAACGAATAAATAAAAAAATATATGTATGCATGTGGTTGTCAAAATCATAGGAAACTAATATTGAAAATAGTGTTGGATGATTGCGTGTGGTAGTTAAGAGTTTTTAATTCTTTCCTGTTTTTTTTTTTATTATTTTCATTGAATTTTTTTGTTGTCATTCATGTTTTGTTTTGTATTTATATTTAGGTTTTCTTGTTTTTGTGGAAAATTTATCATTAGGTCCATGCAAAGTATAGCTTGTAAGTGGTTTAAAACTCATATAGTTTGCAGCAACTATAGATTTTAAACGTTATAAAAAAACGCGTACCTTGGTTTGGAGGTCTTATTCATTTGCATGAAAATCTAAAACACTGTGTGTGTGGGTGTAAATAAACTTGCATTTGATTCTAAAATTCAAACAGGGACAACAAGCAAACATTTCTGCATACGCTTTTAAAAAAGTTTAACTGCTTGAATTTCCGAATTTCGAAAACAATATTTTTTTTCAATCTTTACTCGCACGCACACACACAGTGCAATAAGCTGTTGCATTACATAATTTGTTTAAATAATTTTAACAGTTCTCCGTTCATTATTTGTTGAAAAGGAAAAGTGGTTTTTGTTTTTCATGATTATATGAGTCTTCATCAAAGTACAACTCTGTGGCATGCAATTTGAATGTTCTCTTTTCATTATTTTTTTCTTGGTAATTTGTTCTTGTTGTTTCTTTCAAATTGCTATATGATTGAACTAGTTACATAAATAACTATAAATTAAAATATAAATTTTCCATACAAATTTTCCATTTTCATATTATAATTATTTTGCATTTCTAAGCGTGGACATTTAGGTTTTATCATTTCATTTTTTTTTAAATTTTCATAAGCTTTTTAATCTTTTTTTGTTTTTTTTTTAATTGTTTTTTTTTGTCATAAGTAAAAGTTAGATAATTGCAAAATGCATATTTTATATATTAGTTATTTATGTATTTAGTTAAATTATAAATTTTTGTTTTTTTTTTTCATGTTGTAATATTACTTGAAAGCCTGTAGCTGTTGTTGGTCAGCAATGTCGTACAAAACTAAATGAAAAAAAAATTAAATTCAAAAATATATGTGTGGAGGCATTTAAAAAATTGCTTACAAAAAAAGTTACCCAGCTACTTGCTTTAATACATAATTTTGGATGGTATGTAAGAGAAAGTAAAAAGAAGCACCAAAAAAGAAATGTGTGTTGTAAAAAAATATAACAAAAACATAATGTAAACATAAAAAACAAAACCATATTTCCAATTTTTTTTGTTCTGATTTTTCTTTTTTTTTGTATATCATCAATGGAGGTTCATCTTCTTTATAGACGCGACAGCTGCATTACAGGCTATAAAATTGTGTAGTTTTTTGAAAGGGGGTACGCTTACTTAGGGATAATATTTGCTTTTGCCCCCAATTTTTTTAGGTATCATTATTTCTTATTATGCCATTCATTTTTTGGTCATAATCTTCAAATACTCCAATGCATTTTGTGCTGCCATTTTCTGGGCATCAGCCTGTGTCGGGCCCGAGCCATGGCAAACGCCAACGGGCAATGTCGAAAGTTGAACCAAACATTGATATTGATCGTTGAATGTTTTCTCTTCGATGTCCACATAGGTGACCTCGAATTGATTTTCATGGGCAATTTCAGCCAAAAGTTTGACATACTCAATTTTGGGACTCTTCAAGCAAGTTTTCTGAAAGAAAAAACAAAAAACAACACTTGTTTTAATAATACTTAACATAAAGTATAAAGAAATAGCCTACTAGCCTGTTTGTGGCACAACTTATCATGGGATGTGAAACAAACAAACTAAGACTAATGAATGGGTAAAAGAATTAAACTATCTCTCTCTGCGAAAAAAAAACTGTGGCTAATGAAGGAGTAACGGATGTAAACTCTCTCTCTCTCTCTGCCAAAAAAATCTGAGGCTAATGAAGGAGTAACGGATTAAAACTCTCTCTCTGTCTGCGAAAAAACAGAGACTAATGAAGGAGTAACGCATTTAAACTCTCTCAGCTTTCTTTTCGCCAGAATTAAATTGAATTTAATTTACTAAAAGTGCGTTTCAAGACACCAGATTGAAATTGCATTTCAATTGTATGATAAAAACAAGTTAAACAAGTAAAATAGTATCACTCGGTTTTGCCGCCAGATGTATAGCCTTGAGTTATGATCATTGAAACTGGTGACTCTTTATGGGGGATGTTCTGAAGCAGTTGGCCAATATTGACCAATACGTATCTGACTGATATAAATATTACAACTGACCAGAATTGGACTATATCGGCTAGTTCCTATACTTTATATAAGATATGTGCAAATTTTTGGAAAATGTGGAAATATTTGTGAGGTAGCAGATTTAGCGGGCCGAAATATTCCACTTCATCTAATACAGATATAAATATTGGTATGTGCAAAGTTTGAAAAAAAATCGAACATTTGTATCCAATTTTATGCGAAATCATAAATTTTGATCAATTACATATTCAGATCAGATTTCTGGTTAAGAGAAATATTTAGATATAGAAAGTTGTAAAGAATCGCCGACTTGTTTCGCAACTTATGACAGATATAAGTATTGGAAATTGTGACCCTTTGTGGTTGAGGTACCAGAAGGGGTTGATAGATGTATATTAACTTCAAAACAGATCTTAGATGCTTATTTCGCTTTCTTTGAACGTTTTCTTTTTCAAAATCTTGAACTCTATGTGGGGGAGGAACCAGAAGAAATGGTCCGATCTCTGTCATCCTTACAAAAGGTCTAGTTTTATTGGAAATATTGAGATATACCAAGTCTGAATAGAAACGGACGTTATTTTCGCGTTTTATGAGCTTCATAGGTACTCAACATTTTGACACTTTGTCGGGGAGGTACCAGAAGGAGTGGACCGATATATTCCAACTTCACACCAGACCTTGGTTTAATAAAAATATTGTGATGTGTGAAATATGACGAGAACCGGAAGCTTATTTCGGATTTTACTATCGTTTTAGTTACTCAAAATATTGAGCTTTTGTGGGGAAAGTACTGGAAGGAATGGTCCGATCTCTACTATCTGTTTAACAGATCTTGTGTTGATGGAAATATTGAGATGTGCCAAGTCTGAATGGAATCGAATGTTAATTTCAGGTTTTATGAGCTTTATAGATATTCAAAATTTGGACCCATTGTGGGGGAGGTACCAGAAGGAGTGGACCAATATATTCCATCTTCACACCAGACCTTGGATTATCTAAAGTATTGTGTTGTGTGTAATTTGAAGACAATCGGCCACTTACATCCCATTTTATAAGAGTTACAAATTTTCAAAAATTTGACCCTTTCTGGGGAGGTACTGAATGGAGTGGGCCGGTATTGCCCATTTTCGCACCTGACTTGGCACTGATGCAAATATTAGGATTTGCAAAGTTGGAGCAAAATCGGATTATCCTATAACTTTCTGTACAGTAAATTATTTTCTTTGAGAATGTTGACATTTTGTGGATGAGGTGCTAGAAGGAGTGGACCGATACTGCCCATCTCCGAGCTCGATCTAAGTTGGACAATATTATTACGATATCCTAAGTTTGGATCAAATCGAATACTCCCTTCGAGAGTTATCGTGCGCACCAGCCAGAGAGACTAACGGATGGAACTCCCAGATCGAGTCCAAATGTCCTGAAACGGATTTAGTCCAAAGTGATATAAGCTCTAAAACAGTTATTTCGGTGAGGCACGTTTTGGACGTATCAAATAATATATACCACTCTTTAGCCATATGGCTGAGGGTATAATAAGGATAAACTCTTGGAGCGATAGGTGCTTTTTTCAATGTGAAATATCAAAAGTAATTATGGGATCTATTTTTTAACTTCTAGATATAAAACAAAATAGTTTTCCAAACATGGAAATATATCCATTATGTTTTACATTTTCCCTGAGAGTTTTGAAAATCCTTAAATTAAAAAAGGGACATCCCAACTTTTACTTACATTTTTTATAGTTAAATTCTAAAGGATTTCTCACCTGCAACTTGTGAAGTTTTTTACCCGTTGAATTTTTTAGGGTCTTATGAAATTGGGAAACTTTAGCGCTATGCTGACTGGTGATGGTTGGTACAGTTATATCTTTCAAATCACCATAATAATTGGCCTTCTGTAAGAAGAAAAAATTTGTTAACTTCAGGTATTCATTAAAAACAAAATTGCGACATCTTTAAAATTTAGATGTGTTGGACTATGTTAAGACTTAAAAAAGCAATAACCAATAAAATGGTGACTTGAAAAACATATTAATGTAGGGCTTAGTTTTAGTTTAGAAAATATGGCTCATCCTTTGTATAATTGATTTGACTTGAGTTATTTCTATAATACTTACATCGCCACCCAATTCCGTGCCCATCGACTCAGCCAATTGATTATTTTCAATTGGTGTCTCCTGCAGACGTGTCCACATTTTATGGGCAGCCATACGTTTGGCAATTTTCTTGCTCTTGCCCTTGCCCACCTCACGGAAATTCAAAATTGTGCAAGCAATCGTAAAGAGCCGTTCATGTGGCAAACCGACTTCAGTTTCGGTTTCATAGTTTGGTGGTGGCCAACGGCGAGACATGCACATTTCCTGAAGCCATCCAATGGGATTGCCAACAATTTTATCAGCAGCACTGAAAATAAAATGAAAAACAAATTATTCTTTTAATTAACAATTCCTTGTATGTATATGACTTACTCTCCACCCCCCGAAACATTGGCATTGCCATCTACCCCAACTGTAGCATTTGTGGTTGCATTTGTTGTTGTCGCCTGAGCTTCCGGTAATTGCACACCAGTTAGTTTATCTATCAAGGCTCTGGCAGCCGAGTGCTTAGCCTCTTTTTTAGAGCGACCAGCGCCCATTGCTGTAAATGGTACATCTTTGTCATTAAAGGAGACGCGATAACGAAATGTTGGTTCATGTATGGCTCCCTCAATTTGTACCAATTCATAACTTGGTGTTATTCCCCGACGACTGAGGAGTTCTTGCAGCAATGAAACGGGAGTTTTCATTGCAATGCCATTGGCATCAGTCTAGAAAGAGAAAAAGATAAAAAATATAACAATTTCGTTATAAACATAAATACAGGATGAGATAAAAAAACTGCATCAAATTCAAACGCCATAATTTTTTTTTTTTAAATTTTATTGACTAAAACCAAAAATATGTCGGAAATAGCATCAAATTTCAGAATAAGTTTAGATTTGTTCGAATTGGTCACCTTTGGCACGAATTATGGCCTTCAAATGGCCAATGAAACACGCTGCCCGAATGTTGCTCTGCGGTATTTTGGCCCATTCCCGGCAAGGCGCTAGCTTGAGGTGATCGACACTTTGGTATTTTTTTGGTACCAACCTTGCTTTCCCAAATACTCCAGAAACAATAATCCAACGGATTGGTATCCGGAGATTTTGTTGGCCATTGTGCGCTGGAAATGATGCGTGGAACCTCATTTTGTAACCATTCTTGGGTAGCGCGTGCTGAATGCGACGGTAATGGAGAGTCCAAGGTCTGCGACCAAAATGTTTGCGTGCCCAAAACTTTAATACACTTTCCAGAATATTTTCGTGATAATATTCGGCATTTATTCTGATGCCATGGACGATTAATACGAGCGGAGAACGACCATCAGATGTTATGGCGGCCCACACCATCACCATGGCTGGCGCTTGAGTTCTGGTGGCCCACTGAAGGTGCACATTTTTAGCTGACCTCTTTGGCAAGTAAACACGATCATTTTGTTTGTTTACAAACTGCTGGACAACGAGTGTTTTCTCATCGGCGAAAACCACTTTCGGACAAGCGAAGCAACTTTTTAGCTCTTTTCAGTATATTTTCCTTCTCTTGCGGTGTAAGTTCTTGCACTTTTCCGAATTTCAATGGCTTTACACATTTTTCAATATTTGCCGAATGGAATATTGCGATATGTTCAGCTTACAAGCCTTTTTTCGGCCACTGCGACGCGGTTTTCTATTAAGTCGCATCTTTACTTTTCGAGCCATTTCTGCTGATGTTGCTGTTTTCTTTCGTCCACTTCCTTGACATATGTCGGGCTACGCTACCAGGTAACGAGCGATGGTACGAGACGCAGACACGAGATTTATTCACATTTAAATGCTGGTGTGCTCTAACGATAGCCACTTGTGGGTTTCCAGCCAAATATAAAGAAATTACACTATCACGCTTCAATTCCATCACGAATGACTTTTTTTCTGGAAAATTCTTACCAAAATGCTTTTGTACGCTTGTAAACAATATAATGAGCTGTGACTGGAATAATTTTGACAGCTGTCGGACAAGTGGCTTAAAAATGACAGCAGTCTGAAACTGGTTGCAGTTTTTTCATCTCACCCTGTATAAAATTATATTGTACATTAGAATGTCCTATGTATGACAATTTACCATTGGCCCTTATCACAGTTAATAGGCCCCACGTGTATTTAGAATGAAAATTTCTTTAAAAACTTTTTATGTCCAAAAAAATTGTATATCCATTCGTAAAGATATCTTCCATTCATCCATTTTATAAATATGTAGTATACTTAAAGGCACAATTGCATATTAACTATCCAACTATAGTGCAATCAAAAGCTATTTAATTGACACAAGTCTTCATGGTATACCGCACACACAAAAAATCCACCCCCAAAGAACATTGCCTCATATATATCTATACATACATCCACTATTTTATGACCCCAGCTTATAGGTACATACCAATTTTAGTGACTCCTCAATGGCTAATTTTCCAGTTGCGGCTGTTAATTCGGTAATTTTTTCCTTCTTCACCTTGGGTCTCTGTAAGATGGTAGGATTGGCCGGCATGGTTGGGGCAGCAGCTGTTGGTGCTCCACCACCACCTTGGCCATTGGATGTTGCCGCCTGACCTTCATATACGCGTCGGGGTGCAAATCCCGTTGATTGCTGCTGCTGCTGTGGTTGTTGTCCCTCAGGTGTTGGTACAGATGTCATTTTTCTGATTTTTCTAATTCAATAGATTCTTTATGGGTTTCTGCAATTGAATAAATTGCAAAAATGTAAATAAATTTTCATTTTCTTGTTGTATATGTATGGTTTTTTTCATCATATACACACAACACAATCCGGAAAAATCAATACATTTTCACTGATTCTCTAAGGAAAATCCAATCTTTTGGGAATGAAAATTAACGGCGTATTTGGATTTACTTACTTTCAGATTTGCACTGATATTTATTTAAAAATAAATTGTAATTTTCATAAAATTTATCTTCAAATAAAATGCAGCAAATCTCTCTCTTCGATGAACTACGACAAAATCAATGAAAATTTTTTACCCTGGGTGTCAACTAAACGGTCTGGCAATACTATACAATCAACTTTGACAACAGTCCCATGACACAGTGATAGAGGTAGCCACATCAACACAGCTGGTGGTACAGTGAAATGTCAACACATTTTTGAGATTCGAAATTTTGAATGAAAATTTATTTAAGTAAGTTTAATTTGTGGAAAAACACACATCATAAAACACATCATATTTAAAAATCAATTTGTTTTTATAGATTAATACATATGGCTTGCCAATTTTGTGTATGTATTTATTGCTTTGAGAAATAAAAACAAAATATTTTCAAAATCAATGATTGGAAGAAACGTAAATTGCAGGGCGCGCATTATTAATATTAACCAAATTTGCCACGAAATTGAAAGATTGAACACTTAGGACCATATTTTTTAGAGAGCATACAGGCATTCCATTCATTTTTCGCGCTATTTGACCCCTTTTTAAAAATGAACAAAAGTATCAAATAAATGAAAACAAGTTGTTGGATATAATTTTGAATAATTCTGACAGGAAGCGATCTGTATTTCTGTAATTTTACGAAGCTATTCTACCTTTTTATTGTACAATGCATGGTAGAAGAATATAGGCAGATGCATCGACGCAGGTACTGGGACAATGAACTGTCAAACCAATTTTGAAATTGAAAATGTTGAATGAAAAATTATCTAAATTTGTAAAAATTGTTGAAAAACGCGTATTATAATAAACTCCGAATGACATCGTGTAAGAAAAAATATAAAAGGCATTCCTCTGAGAGCGAATGTAACATTTCTTTCTTTAACTAGTTTTAACTTAAAATGTAATACGTAAACGCCAAAAATATGTTTTACATTAAATATTCTGTTTATTATGTTACACATTCGCTTTGTAAACTCATTGTAATAATAATAAGAAGAGGACTTACGGGTTAATTGCTATATATTTTTTGCTGAGATCTATGACGGATTACTAAACATTTGTGGGAAAAAACTAATGCTCTAATCATCTATTTATCAAAATAAAAAATAATAAACAGCCTAATTTTGTTATCGCCAAGATAAAAAAAATTCCATCTGTATCTTACCTTATTGTCATTTAGACTAAGGCACCCTTAATTAGAAGTCATACACTTTTTTATTATATGGCAACATTATGCTTTCGCACGATTTATAAGAAAATCCATCTGCATATTACCTTATTGTCATTTAGACTAAGGCACCCTTAATTAGAAGTCATACACTTGTTTATAATATGGCAACACGAGGCTTCTGCACGATTTATAAAACAATTCATCTATCTCTTACCTAATTGTTATTTAGACTAAGGCACCCTTTATTAGAAGTCATACACTTGTATGTAATATGGCAACATTATGCTTTTGCACGATTTCACATCTAGATGGAGTTAAAATTATCGTGCTCTAAGCAAGTAACAATACGGCACGGTGTTTTCGGTGTTTTTTTATTTCAATAAAATTAATTTAAATATATTAAGAAAAAAATGCTGCCTCTAAGCTATGGCAATGTCTATAAGACACCCGATGATTATAAACCACCCGATGATTTAGACTTCGATGATACCGAATATCCCAATCTCAATTCACGCGACTATGCCAGACGTCCACTAAATCATACGGCGCGAATGCATGAGGCATGGGAATGCCTAAGCATCAGTACACCGCTCGAGGAGACCAATGGTAATGTGGCTGTTTGCTGCAACAAACTAAGTGGGCGTGAATGGACCGGGACACTCTGGGGTTTTGAAAAGCCAAATGTTATCGAAAACAAAAGTGAATCTATGATGCCGGAAAAATCATGTTTCAAACTTCAGTGTCCTGCCATTATTAACTGTATGACATTTGTATCGCCAAATATAGTGAGTTTTGTGGGATTTGTCATCTGTGTGTTGTCATTAAAATCTGTAAAATATATTTTTAGCTTCTATTGGCCTTTAATACCGGCAACCTGCAAGTATGGTCTACACATTCCGAAGTAAGAAAATCCCAGAATCCCTATTGTTTGTTTCTAATTGGCGAGAAATGTGAACACATGAAACCAATAACATGTCTCACAGGCTTCCAAAGTAATCAACACAAGGCTGCCACGGCTAGTAAGGACGGTGCAATTAAGGTAATATTTTTCTTTTGAGAGCTTTGGGGATTGTAGAACAATTTTACATTATTTTCCCTTTTTAGATTTGGGATATGGGCACCGCTGACCTGGTTTCCCAGGGCAGTTTTCGTTTCGCCCACACCGATGTGATTACAGGCCTGGCAGCATCTTGCACAAAGGAAAATATTTTTGCAACATGTTCCTTGGATAAATCTTCTTTGATTTGGGATGATCGAGAAACCCGACCGGCTATTGGTAATTGTTATACATTAAATAAATTAAGCTTTGCTTTAATTTTCGCTCTGTTCTAATTTCCAGCTCTTTATGAAAATCACAATGTCCGCTTTACAAATGTCTCTTGGTGTCCCCAATCCGAGGACAATATTGTGTATTTGGGAGATGAGGCCGGTTCGCTGTTAACAATCGATGTGAGACAACCCAAAGTAATACAAAACCAAACAACATACTTTGACCGTCCCATAAGGAAAATTTTACCCAATGAGTAAGTAATTGGATATTGGATTCTTATTAGAGATTATTTATATGAACTTTATTTTTATTTTATTTTGCAATTCAGAGACAACCTAGCTGTGATTGCCGATTCAAATTTGGTCAAGATTTCCAAAACACCCACCCACTCTGTTTTCTATGAAAATAATGAAACACAAAATTTCGTCCGTGATGGGGGATGGATTTCCCCAACGGAATTCTTAACAGTTGGATTTGAAGGCAAATTACGAAGTCACTGTATTGAATAGAAACTGTAGTCTTTAAGTCTTTATTTTCCTATATGTAGTCTGTTTAAGATATAATATTTTCCAACTCTGTTGTTTAATTTTGTTTATGATTCGATCAGACTTCTGTTGAGAAGTTTTACACATTTTTTTATCAAGAAAACTACAACAGAAACACGCACACACCTTTCAAGGTTTAAAAAAAAAAATTATATTAATAATGGAGATATTCGAAAAGCAATAAAAAACAATCGAGTTAGTGTCATTTTGTATTTGAAGTGAATAAAACAAAACATTTAAAAGAATTAAAGACAGATGTTTCAATACGGCTCCCCATCAAGAATATATGACCCTCTACTCGTAGGCTAGGTATGCTTTTAGATATCCATTAACACATTAGATATTTAAATAGTTCAAATCCCATCTTATTAATCACAGTTTTCATTATCATCCCCCTACTAAGTATGTATCTGAACCTTCACTGTACTGTAACGATGTCTAGAGTAATTCTAATCTTTAAATGGTTATGGACAAGTAAAATAGTATCAGTCGGTTTTGCCGACAGATGTATACCCCCAGCCTTGACTTATGATTATTCAAATTGTTGACTCTTTATGGGGGAAGTTCCAAAGCAGTTGGCCAATATTGAACAATTCGTATCTGACCTAAGACTGATATAAATATTACAAGGTGCCAGATTTGGGCTATATCGACAACTTTCTGTACTTTGTATGAGATATGTGCAAATTTTTGGAAAATGTGGAAATATGCCTGAGGTAACAGATAAAGCGAACCGAAGAAGTATTCCATTTTCATAATTCATCTATTAGAGATAAAAAAAATTTGAAGGAAATCAAACATTTTTATCCAATTTTATACGAAATCATAAATTCCGATAAATTACATATTCATGTCAGATTTCTGGTTAAGAGAAATATTTCGATATAGCAAGCTGTAAAGAATCGCCGACTCGTTTCGCAAGTTATGATTTGACGAGATGGATGGATGGATTTGGATGCTTATTTCGATTTCTTTAAGCGTTTTGTTTTTCAAAGTCTTGAACCCTATTTGGGGGAGGTACCAGAAGAAATGGTGCGATCTCTGCCATCTTTAAAACCGATCTTGTGTTGATGGAAACAATGAGATGCGCAAAGTCGGAATGTAATCGGATGTTAATTTCGTGTTTTATGAGCTTCATGGGTATTCAAGATTTTGGCAATTTTTGGGGTGTACTTGGGGAGTGGACCGATATATCCCATCTTTACATCAGACCTTGTTGGGCTAATTAAAATATTGTGATGTGTGTAATTTGAAGAGAACCGGATGCTTATTTCGGATTGGCCGTTTGAAGGCCATAATTCGTGACCAAAGCTGACCAATTCGAACAAATCTAAACTTATTCTAAAATATGACGCTATTTCCGACATTTTTTTGGTTTCATTCAATAAAATTTAAAAAAGAAAATGTAAAAATTATGGCGTTTGACTTTGTTGCAGTTTTTTATCTCACCCTGTAGGCCCTTTGTACCACTTTGATTTGCCAATACACAGCTGTGTCTGGTTACCCCAAAAATTTGTAAAAATTGTTACAAATTGTTATTGGAAGTCGTCTGTTAACCCAAAAGTTCTGCAAAAGAGAGCGGTTGGAGAGAGAAATTTTGACAGTTCTTTCAGTGAGAGTTTGCAAATTCTTGCTGGATAAATTTCTTCTTGCAATCATTTGCAACTCTTCTTCTCATTCATCGACATTCAATCGAGTTCTTTCTTTTTATGCTTTCAATTTGGAAAATATTTTTTTGGAATTAGAAAGACTAATTGCTTTTGAAGAAGAACTGTACAAAATGGGAAAAACATAAATATTAATATGTAATATTATTACTATTTCCAACATTTTTAGACTAATGCCTTAGCAAAACGTTTAAAGGATTCCGGGGAACACATCAAATCTATTTTTCTTTTATTGCTCATATTTTTATTTATTTGTTTATTTCCTTTTATTTATAAAACTTGTAAAATTGGTGGTGCTTCTTTTCTTTGAATTCTTTTAATGGGGGACAAATTGTTTTGTTTTGATAAATCAGCTTGCAACTAATCAAGCTTCTGCAGGAATACCGTCTGTTTACTTTTTGCATTTTCTTTGCAAAAGAGAATAAAACTACCTTACTCTCTCAAAAAGATGTTGCTGGACAATTCCTGCAGGAAAGGAAAGAAAATTTCCCGCTTTGAAATGTATTGATCGCTCAACTGAACTTGTGGCATTTCATCAACAATTCCAATCAAATATAAACGTATATATGTTTTTGTTATATTTTTATTTTATAATAAAATAATAATTACATATATATGGATTTCTTTTTCCTTTAAAGTATAGTTTCCTTATTATTTTATTTATTTATTATTATATTTTTGAAAAGATTTAACATGTTTCAAAAAAAGTTTTGGATGCAATGTGTTTTTTACTTTTCTGTCTACACGTTAATAATAATAATAACTTTAAAGTAGAGTTTCGTTTTCGCTTTGTTTTGCAAATGTATGTAAATGGCCCTTGGGGAGCCGGGGAATATGTTTCCATTCAAAAAACGGATTTCGAAATACACAAAACATACACAAACATATTCCAGTTAGGTCCAGGACCTTTATCTGTTCTTGGTTTTTCTTTTTCGTCTGACAAAATACACATAAAATGTTGGGAGAGAATGTGAGGAGGGGGGGAATATTATCATCAGCATAAAGAATAGATTTGATTTGGAAAGTGGGATGGTGGTTCTTTTTGTGTTAGAATTAATTGCAAATAAAACTTAGTCATCGCTCAGAAAATCATCGTCCAGATTAACATCTGTCGTATCAATATTATCATCCAATGTAATGCCTTCAATCTCCAAATCCAAATCATCATCCTCATCGTTGGTGGTGGCAGGGGGCACTGTTGTTGTTTGCGCTGGTGGTCTATTTTGTACACCCGCCGCTGGATAATCATCACTTTTCTTATAATCCTGGACACCCACCTTGGCATTGCTTTCATAAATACCTTTCTGTTGAGCTAATTGCATTTCCTCCAACGGATTTCTTTCAATATTTAGCGGCAAAGAGGCTGCAGCATGTGCCGGCAATGGTTGTTGGTCTTTTTGTCTAACGAATTCTTCGACTTGTAATGCATCACCCAATCCAGGGAAGAGATTTTCATATTTGGCTGGATCGGCCAAAGATTGACCAGCCTTTTCATTGAATTTAGTCAATTCTTCGCGCCACAGTTCAACAATGCGCGACATTTGACTGGGAATGTAGGTGCGGGCAAAGAAAGCCGCCTCAGGCAAGCGATTGGTTTCAATGAGAATTTCCAAACAACGTTCCACATCGGAACGTAAAAATGCCGAAAGGAATGCAATATTGTGGCGTCCTTGGGTCGAGCCATTCTCCTCTAATTCTCTCAACATTTCAGCATCCCCGGAGGCGGTGGCCAACAGCAAGAGGCCACTAAAATCATTGGCCTTTTGCATACATTCCTTAACCAAGGCCATGTTATTTTTACGTGAAGCCACATCGGCCAGTTGCGACCATTTTTGGGGATTTTCAGCTTCGCGTGCCAATTTTACGGCAATTTCCAATTCACCAATTTGCAGAGCCAAGTCGAATTTATGATCTGGATCGGTGGAGACTTGTAGGGCCTGTGACTTAAAGCCTTGCTTCTCAAGGAAATGGGCCACCCGTGTACGATGTTCCTTCGGTATGGTGGGTAAAACCAAATCGGCTCTCTCAAAGTCGCGGCGCATAACAGCAGTTTGATATTCCAAAACGGATAATTGCAATTGGAAGGATATAACATTGAGTTCTTTGTCGCCCAAGTAGAGACGATTGTCCTTGGGCACATAGCCCAGTAAATACATGGTACGATCCAAATGGGAAACTGTTACAATTTCCCCACCTACATAGTAGTTAATACGATTGACCGAATTGGTGTAAATAAAGCAATCGCCCACCCAGAGACCGGTCTTGACAATTTCATTGATTTCACCTGGAAAATGCAAAACAAATTCATTAGACTATCGCATCTTTGCCACTAGATGGCCACACACACTCACCCAAAACATCGAAGGCACTTTCAATGCCATCATCCTCCAAATCCTGTTTAGTCTCCAAGGCATTAACAATGGCCCCCGTATCAACGGACAATATAAAGAAGGACTCCTCGGTGGCCAAACATACCAGTGTGCCAGCCTCATTCCAAAACACATGACGTGGTTGGACCTCAATGCGACGCACCAAGGTCAAGGTTTCCCAATCGTAGAATGCCAAACCCGATGAGGTCTTCACTCCAAACAAATAACCGCCATAGATGCTCTCTGCCCCATATTCTGGGGTAAAACTTTTACGTTCCTTGAAGTTTCTGAACAAACGTACCGTGCCACTGCTCTCCCTAATGGCATATTCATTGCTCTCCAAGGCCCACACAAATTCCTGGGCCGAGCCAAAGGCCTTATTACGCAAAGCCATTGAGGTGTAGATAATATATTCACCATCACCACAGACTACCACAAAACGGCCATTGGGGTTATGGGCAATGGTCTGGGGATAGATTTCACAGGCTCCCATATCTTTGACAGCCACCGGTAAACGTTCACCGTCCTTTATCTCTGTGCCATCGGCCAAGGCCTTCAGATTAACCTGCTGCATTTCCGAATGTTTGGCCCATATAATTTTACTACCAATCACATCCATGGACATGGCCGGCTCCTCACGTCCCACCTTAATAATAATCGATCCTTCATCATAGCCCAAGGCCACATTGTTTGTACCACGCATGCATGCAATTGTCCAGACACGTTCATAACCATAATTCAGGCAAGTCTCCAGACGATAGGTTCCAGAATGCCAAATTCTCACCGTACCATCTTCGGAGCCAGTCAATACAATTGGCAATTCAGGATGGAAACAAACGGCCGATATATTCTGGGCATGACCCTCCAACGTTTGGACACATGTCTTATTTTGATAATCCCAGATTTTTACCAAACGATCATCGGCTCCGGAAATTAAATATGGCTTATCACCACCATGATAATAGTCAACACAATTGACACCCTTCTCATGGCCCTCCAATGTGAAGTTGGCAAAATTTGAACCCAATTGCCACACCTTAACTGTGCGATCCAGCGAGGCTGAGGCAAAGGTATTGTTATCCTTGGGATTGAAGACAATTTGCATAACATAATGGGTGTGGCCCTCGAAGACACGTTGGCAGGCCCACATTTTCTCCCAGTTCCATAGTTTAATGAGCATGTCATCTGAAAGGGGAGACGTGAAAGACGTTAAAATAAATTTTGAAAAGAAAGGACTTGAAAAAAGAAATTTGTTTTGGAAAAGTTGTTGGATTTTTTTAGAGGTTTTTTTTTTGGAATATTTGGAGGTCTCTACCCGATTGAAAATTCATTTTTTTATATTTTTAAGAGGTCTCTAAACTTTGCTTTTAATAAAATTTTGTAGAATGATATGATGGCTTCTAGACGAGGTTTTTGTGAGGAATTTGTGTAGAATAAGAGTAGGTTTTGACGTGGAATTATTTAGAGAATAATAGGAGGACCAAAACGTGGATTTTCCGAAGATTTTTAGAGACTAAAAAGAGGCGCATGAATGTGGATTTTTTAAATATTTTTTTAGAGGCTAAAAGGAGACACATCGACGAGGATTTTTAATGAATTAAGAAGGACTTAAACGTGGATTTTTATAGAATTTTTTGGAAATTTTTTACAAGGATTTCAACATGGATTTTTAAAGAATATTTTGGAGATTTTAACAAGGATATCAGCGTGGATTTTAAAGAATTTTTTGGAGATTTTTAACAAGGATTTAAACGTAGATTTTTAAAGAATTTTTGTGAGAATTTTAACAAGGATTGCAACATGGATTTTTTAAGATTTTTTTTTGGAGATTTTTAGCATAGATTTAAAGGATTTTTTTTCGAGATTTTTAACAATATTAAAACGTGAATTTTTAAAGAATTTTTTGGAGGTTTTTAACAAGGATTTTACGCGGATTTTTTAAAGAATTTTTGGAGGTTTTTAACAAGAATTTAAAGGTGGATTTTTTTAAGATTTTTTAGAGACTAAAAGAGTTAACAAGGATTTAAACGTGGATTTTTAAAAATTTTTTGGAGATTTTGAAAAAGGATTTTAAGAAGATTTTTTTAAAGAATTCTTTGGAGATTTTTAACAAGGATTTCGACATGGGTTTTTAAAGATTTTTTAGAGATTTTGAACAAGGATTTAAAGATGAATTTTTAAAAAATTCTTTGGAGATTTTTAACAGGGATTTGAAGGTGGATTTTGGAGATTTTTAACAAGGACTTAAATTTGGATTTCGACGGTTTTTTTTTTGTAAAAAAAAAAATAGATACATCAGCGTGGATTTTTAAGGATTTTTAGCAGAATTTTAACAAAACTTTAAACCTGTATTTCCAATATTTTTTGGAAAGTCTCTTATCGTATTTATTTTAAGAATTTTTGGAGAACTTTAGAAAGGCTTTGAACATGGATGTATAAGACATTTCTCGGAGAGTATTAAACAGGCTCTAAACGCGGAAGAATATCATGAGGACTGTATGGAAAATACTATCAATGCTCTAGAATTTGGTTTCCCATGGCATTTTCGGAGAATATCAAAAGGTGTCTAAACGTGAATTTTTAAGGTATTTTTCGAAGACTTGAAGGCTCGAGGCTCTAAAGTTGGAGACCCAAATATACATTTTAAAAATTTAGCATGTATTTTTCATAATTTTGAACATTCGTGAAGCTCATAAAAGGCGTAATTAATATTCGATTCCATTCAGACCTGCCACATCTCAATATTTCCATCAACACAAGATCTGTTATAAAGATGGTAGAGATCGGACCATTTCTTTTGGTAGCACCCACACAAATGATCAAAATTTTGAATAACGAAACGATCATAAAATCCGAAATAAGCATACTGTTCTCTTCAAATTACACATATCACAGTATTTTTATTAGCCCAAGGCCTGGTGTGAAGAAGGAATATATCGGTCCAGTCGTTCTGGTACCTCCCCCACAAAGATCAAAATTTTGAATATCCTAAAGCTCATTAAACATGAACTTAACATCCGTTTTCATTCAGATCTGGAACATCTCAATATTTCCATCGACACAAGCTCTGTTATAAAGATGGTAGAGATCGGACCATATTTTCTGATAGCTTCCCCACAAAGGATCAACGTTTTGAATAACCAAAACGATCATAGAATCCGAAATAAGCACCCGATTCTCTTCAAATTACACACATCACAATATTTTTATTAAAGTGTGGAGTGCAGATGGAATATATCGGTCCACTCCTTCTGGTACTTCGCCCACAATGGGTCAACATTTTGAAGCTCAGAAAACGCGTAAATAACTTCCAATTCCATTCAGACTAGATCATCTAGATACATGTTTCCATCAACACAAAATCTGGTACCTCACCCACAAAGGGTCACAATTCTGTCATAACTTGCAAAAAAAAAGTGGGCGATTCTTTACAACTTGCTATATCTAAATATTTCTCTTAACCAGAAATCTGATATGAATACTGCTTCGGAAAATGTCCCATAAAGAGACAACAGTTTGAATAATCAGAAGTCAAGGCTGGGGGTATACATCTGTCGGGAAAACCGACTGATACTATTTTACTTGTTTTTATTTAATTTTCGTAACAAAGTCTAATAAAGGCCATCATAGTTTCTGTTTTGTTTTTTTTCTTAAGAATATGGGGACTACAAATGAATATTATATGTTGAAATGTTTCGAGATTATTGTGAGGGATGTAGATGTTGGTTTTAGAATATTCTTTGGGTAAGATAGGAGGGGTTTACAACATAATTGTTGGGAATTTACGAAGAACATTTTATAAGCGTTAACAACTGAAGCGTTTTGATAGAATACTCAAAATATTCTAAAAGTTAATTAGTTTTTAATATACCAACATTGAAATATTATAATGTCTCCACAACCCATGGCAAATATCTAGCCAGTAAAAATGACAATATCAACACCACGACATAATTTAATTCTAATTGTTATCAATTGAAAGATATTTTTCTAGCACAGATTGTTTCTCAACTTGCTACTCTCCCTCTCTCCAAGACATCTTGCAACATGATGAAATAACATGATCCCCACTATCACAACGTCATCTCTCCCCCCAAAACATCATCATCAGCCGTCGTCTTATCAAAATAGTTTCGTTTTCATTTATTCTTTTCCGATTTTTTTTCTTCTTCTTTTGTTTATCTTTACACCAACAAACGGCCATGTTACTCACCACTACTCGTCAATATCAGCGGTTGTGTTGGATGAACGGCAATACAGCGTATATAATCGGAATGTGCCTCAAACGAGTGGACCTTCTCTAGGGTATTATAATTGAAAATACGTATTTGCATATCATCGGAACCGGTAATGAGCCAATTCTTGCGGGCCACAAAACGTCCTGATCGCACCGGAACATCACACACCTCGAAATCTTTGACCAATTGTTGGTTCTCATAGTTCATGATGTGTACGTGGCCATTGTATAGAGCACACAACATCCATGGTTCGGTTGGATGTATGTCAACGCACTTGACACGGTCTGAACGTGACGTTAGACGACGTTTAATATCTAATTTTAAAGGCATTTTGTTATTTCACCGCTCGGCTAGCAATTGCAATTGTTTTTCTTTAATTTATTTGCACTTATGTCTTAGAAAAAAACTGAAAAAAAGTTTACGGTGTCGAAAAAAAATACCGTGTCCGTATTGTTACTTGCTCATATCACGAAAATTTTAACGTCATCTAAATGTCAAAATTGTGTGAGCACATGATGTTGCCATATCACAAAAAACAAGACTTCTAGGTAGGGGTGCCTTGGACTAAACAAAATTTAATCAAACGGCAGTTGACAAGTTATTTTTAAAGGGGCTTGGCGACACATGATATTATGTTGTTTAGTGAATATTTCATAAAAAATGCAAAATAAAGCGATATTTTAGAAATAGAAAAATTATTAGCAAATAAAAATATGATTTTTTTACAGTTGTCGGTACGGTTGATGTTCTGAATAGATTTTAAAGTAAAATCTAAGCAAATTTTTTTTTTTTTTTGTTTTATTTATTTATTTATTTTCAATTAGTACAGAAACCTAGTCAACAGGGCCATGGACGGTTCAAAAAACTTCTATACATGACTACTCTAAAATTATTATAATATCCTTAATCCTAAAAAAATTACTTAAAATTAAACACTAAAACAAATTAACAAAAAATGAATAAAATTAACAATTGATTGATGGTTCCAAGAACTCCTATACATGACTACTCAAAACTATTCATAACATCCTTAATCTTAAAAATAACATTAAAAAAATAACAAAAAAAAAGATTAGCAAAAATCACAATTCATTGAAGATTTAGATAAATCAACTATGCAAGGAAAAAAACAAATTAACACAAGAAAACTATATATTTTAAACAATATTGAAATGAGCATATAATTTACGCCTATAACATTTTAGGGAAGAATTGAATGTCTTAAGATTAGGTGGCAGATTGTTGAAAATGCGAGCAATTCTTACATAGAAGGATTTTTCCAACAGAGGAGTCAAGCGTGGTATAACAATTTGCAGGTTCCTTACAGATCTCGAAAACTTAAAAAGGTCCAAAAGAGTAGAAGATGTCCTCAATTTAAAATGTTTGTAGAAGAACAACATTGACCTTAAATTCACAAAACACTCAAACGAACAACCAAGAAACTCTTTCACAGAAGGAGATATATGATCACGACGTTTGACACAAAAAACATATCGCATTACTCTATGAAACAATAGTTTTAACTTACGAAAAACAAAACCGTAGCTACCCCCAAAAATCTCAATACAATATAAAAAGTGAGGCATTATTAATGCATGTACCAACTGAATTCTAATCTTCTTAGGCAAAACTATGCCCAAGCAGTACAACTTCTTTAAAATAAAGTTAACTTTAGACACTAAAGAATTCACATGCACATCAAACACCAAACCAGAATCAAGAAACAAACCAAGACATTTCATCGAGCTTACAACATTTATAGGCGTCCTATAAATGGAAACTCTAATTGAATCCTCTTGCAAGTTCCCAAAAAACATAACTTTAGATTTTTGAGTATTTATTGAGAGACCGTTACAGGACAACCAAGTTACCAACATATTAATATTAAAATCAATTGACGACTGCAACACATCCATAAACACATATTCTCCTTTAAACAAAATTTGAATGTCATCAGCAAATGCAAACGACATACAGTTCCTACCATTAATACAACTCAGCAAATCATTAACAGAGCATTTAATGGAGCATTAGGTGATTGTCAAATTAAATTACAAAATACATAATTGTGATTGAATCACAAACAAAAAGGTGAACAATTTTTGACATTTGGTCTGATTTTCAAAATCTCCGGTAACATCTTAAGGTGGGAATACATAAAGCGCTTATTTTACTGGCTTAAGTCATCGGCTGGCTTATTTGGAAATGAACAAAAGAGCCTAGGAACCACATCGAACTATGTTAACCTAAAAATCCTCTATTCCCCTATGAAGAAGCCAACCGTTGACTTAAGCCAGCCAAATAAGCGCTTTATGTATTCCCACCTTTAGTTTTGTTTCCCATCAGGACTAGAGGGTTGCCATATTTAATGTCAATTTTTTACAAATTTCAATAATTTTGTATTCAAAATTTTTAATATCAAAATTGGTTTGACATTTCATTATCCCATCAGCTATATCGATGCAACTACCTCCATTCTTCTATCATGGGAAAATTAATGAGTAAAAATTTTCAAAAATGTTTTTCAAAAATAAGTAGATTCTTATATCTTTTCTTGCATTTCAATCGGAGGTTATTATAGTATGCATTTTTCAAACATTTTTACAATTTTGAATAATTTTCCATTCCAAATTTTCAATTCCAAATTTGGTTTGACAATTCACTGTCTCAACAGCTGTGTCGATGCGACTACCTGTATTCTTCTGCCATGGTATAATAAGTTCGTCGTTCTGTTTGTAACTCATCGAAATAATAAGTTTAGATCCAACAAAGTATGTATATTCTTGATCAGCGTAAAATTCTAAAACGATTTAGCCATGCCCTTCCGTCCGTCTGTTGTAATAACGGTAGAGTCAAAACGAATTAAGATAGGAAGCTAAAATTTTGCAGAGATCAGTTTTTTGTGTTTAGGCTGGTCAAGTTCGAAGATTGGCTCTATCGGTCCTCTATATCGTATATCCCCCATATAACGGTACCTCCCGATATACGGTATTTTGATGATTTTTGGCACATTTTTCAATGGAATTGTCTGAAATTTTACACAAGGAGCCCTTTGTGGGTATTTTACCACCTGCAAGAGAATTGTCTATATAAGTCCCCTATATCGTATATTCCCCAAAAAAAGGTATCCCCCGATATTCCGTATTTTGGTCATTTTATCCACATTTTTTCAATGTAACTGTCTAAAAACCCACACAAGGAGTTCCCTCTGAGTACTTTACATCCTGAAAGAGAATTATGTATATAGGTCCACGATATCGTATAGCCCGGCCACGATATTTTGATCGGAGATTTTCAAATTTCGTGTTTAAAGTTAGTATGACGAAAAATATTCTAGGTAGGTCTACGTCTCCGGTACCTCCCTTTATTCCGTATTTTGATGATACTAGCAACATAATTCACCGGCATTGTTTCAAATTTGATAATATTAGCGATATTATTCAACGAAATTGTTTCAAATTTCGTATTTGAAGTTTGGAATCGGCACTACAGCCTATGACAAGAAAGTACTTACGCAGGTCCACGTCTACGTATTTACCCCATTTAACGATTTTCACTTAAGTGGTATTTTTCGACGGATTTTTTTTTTAAATTTTTCAGAATCTCTCAAAATGATGGAGGGTATTAAATGTTTGGCACGGCCGAACTATAAAATATTTATGTTTATTTGCTGTTTCTTTCATTTGACCCAGCTCCAGCAAACTAAGAATAACACCTTTACCATTCTCTCCATCTCTTAAAAGGCACTTTATAATCTTTTAAAATCTGTCAAAATCAAAACCATCAACCATAGAAATATATTTAAGTTCTTTGTTTTTTTTTTTATTTTTTTTATTGTAAATATGATTTCTTATTATAGGAATAAGCCTAAAAATATCTTTTTATCTAACAGTTCTATGCCTTTAAAAATTGTTAATTTACAGACTAATTTCATTTTGTTAATTAATAGTATACAATTAAATTCAGTTTTCTTTTTTTGGGAACAAAACAAAAAATAAATCAATTATTAAGCACGAAAATAAGAAATTTCCATAATAATGTTATAGGGATTTGTTTTTTACAAAGTGTGTCCAATTAAACTTGAAGTTTGTTATATACTTTAGAAGAAAACAAAAAACAAACAACTAATCAAACTATATTGCATTTAGAATTTTTTTAGAGGAAACTCAAAAATAATTAACTAATAGTTTTGTTTTCAAATAATCAAAACAAATTCTCTCTTTTGATTTTTTTAAGTATAAAATAGGATTGTTTGTTTTGTTTGTTTTTTTTAATCATTACAAATTACAATTATTAAAGTTATCACTACAACTCCTTTTCAGGTTTGGATTTCTTTGTTGTTGTCGTGGTCGTTGAGGCTGACGCTGATGGCGTTGTTTCCGTGGCATTGGCCTTGGATTCCTTGGCCATTTGCCATCGTTTAAATTCAATCATTTGCATGATGCGTATTTTCATATGCGGCCTACGTTGCATTACTTTGGAGAGTTTGGCAAATTCTTGTGAATACATAAATACCACAGGTATTTTAACATCATTAATGCCATCACCGGACATGGCAAACATCGGTTGTGTTTCACCGGACGAACCGGGTACATTATCACAGACAATGAGCGCCAGGGCGCCAGATTTTTGAGCCAAACGTGCCTTACTCACAAATGTACAATCACCACGCTCTGCAATTAGAATTTTGCCTTTCGCCTTTTCGGCATTTGCCAGACGTTCGTCACAAGCCCGCAAGGGTTCAGCGAGAATAACTTCACTTTCCACAAAATCATCTTCGGTCAATTCGGGACTAAAATGTGAAGGACCAGCCATTAGAGCTGTCCAATCGTTTGATTTGTCGTCAAGGGGATAGGCAACAGCCTAAAAAAAGAAAGGAAATTCGAAAATCAATTATTCGATATTATTTTGAAAAAATGAATCTGGAATTGATCACATACCTGTAATTGAGCCAGTTGATTGAGTGATTGCAATTTCGTTAGTTCCAACATTTCTTGCATAAATTGTAAACCCATTTCACCTTCTTCGGGTGATTTAGCCTGAAATTTTAAAATCCATTAAAGAAAAACAAAACAAATATAATCAAGCCCGGAAAAGAAGGAAAGTACCATTCCAAAACAGCTCAAACAATTACAAAACTTAATAACATAATAATTTTAAAACTAAAAGAAGAAAAGAAATGATAACTCACATTATAAAAACTATGAAACAGTCGCACCTTGCCATCGCCTAATGAAACCATTGTGATGCCCATGTCATAAACAGCTCGTAAATGATCTGCATTACTCGCTTGAAAGTCCAGGGCTCGTAGCCGTTTGGTGGCTGGCGTGCGCGGACACGAGCCGGTAATGAAGTTGCGTAAAGGCTTGCGTACTTTCTCAGGAAAAAGCTTGTTCGAGGAGGGGCAGGTGCGCATAAAATCTAGCACATTATGTTCCTCGGATTGACGGAAACCTGAAACAAAAATCATCATAGCATTAATTAAAAAAACCGGAAATGATTCGGAATTTCCATCACAACTTACTGTATGTGGAATTGCCCAGTTGGGCCAGGGAAAGTGGCAGTAGATGGGCCTCAGTGGTGAAAACAAACTCATCGATGTTCAATATCAAATCCTGTGGCTCAGTAAACAGCAAATACAGATATTTAAAGGTCTCGGACAAAACAAACGAGTCCATACGATCTTCATGTTTCCCCGTGCGCACATCATTCACCGCCGCATAGCCGCATGGCACCTTGGCATGCTGTTGCAAGGCTTTCAATGCCTTCTTGCCCACTTGCAAATAATGATGATCGCCTGTGGCCCGATATAAAAAGTAAGTGGATTCTATGAATTCCGGTCGCAAATGATGCTGGCCCCAGTGTATTTGAAAATCAATGGTAAATGCCTCCGGTATAAAGGTATGCATTTGCATAACTTGATATAACATTTCATGCGTTTGTACGGCCGGTTTCAAATCACCCGACAGCACTTGTAAACCCGGCCAAAAGGCCAATAAAGCATCCATAAAATTACGTGATTTCGCATGTGGTCTATGCATGAGGACATCGAGCAGCATTGGACCCTCACTAACGTATTTCATGACCGCATTATAATGGCGATTGAAACGGGCCAAATATTTATCATCACCCAATAGGACATAGGATTTGAATAGATATTCATAGTAAGAATCAATGCCAGCACCAACACCGGAATCACGGCGCACCCAATCACCGGAGTGGACATTGAGAACGGTGCCCATTAGATCGGACCCCCGATGGCGTAATTTCCACAGGGCATCCATGGCAGCATGAGCACGAGCTTCAAAGATGGGATCACCTGGAGAGCAAAAAAAAAAACAAATCCAAGGTTAAATAATTGAAAATCAACACAACATTTTGGAGGTGGATTCCATCAACATTTCAATGTCTTATTTCAAAGTTTTCAAGAATTTCCTTACTCACCTGTCAACCTTGACAATGCTGCAAACTCCAAAAGGATAGTACCGGCACAGGCTGTACAAGTTTCACGTGACTTCTTGAGTAATTCATCTTTCATGCCATAGCGTAGATTTACCCGGGCATGTGGTATACCAGTTGAGGTATTAAAAGCTGGCAGCAAACGATAACCCAAATCTCTTGCCATCTCCAACAGTTCACCCTTATACCAGTGCATTACTTGTGCATTTTTCTGTATATATTCGGCGAGAATGTGTGCCGACAGTAGACCACCCATCATACGAATATTCGTCTCAAATACCGAGACAATAATATCATTATCAAATTGGACATCACGTATTACCAATTTGACGGCATGTTCAAATTCGGCAAAGTCGCCCAGAATCACCAATGTGTCGAGTGTATCGACTAAGGTCATCGAAAAGCTGAAAATACAGAGAAATAAGTTATTAAAATTGAATATAAACAAGTCGAATAGTATCAGTTGGTTTTGCTGGCAGATGTTTTCTGAGCTTCATGGATATTCAAAATTTTGAAAATTTGTGGGGGAGGTACCAGAAGGAGTGGACCGGTATATCCCATTTTCACATAAGACATTGGGTTAATAAAAATATTGTGATGTGTGTAATTTGAAGAGAACCGAATGCTTATTTCGGATTTTATGATCATTTTTGGTTATTAAAAAATGTAACCCTTTATGAGGGAGGTACCAGAAGGAATGGCCCGATCTCTGCCATCTTTACAACAGATCTTGTGTTGATGGAAATATTGAGATGTGGCGAGTTTGATTCGAATCGGATGTTAATTTCGTGTTTTATGAGCTTCATTGACATTCAAAATTTTGACCCTTTGTGGGAGAGGTACCAGAAGGAATGGTCCGATCTCTACCATCTTTATAACAGATATTGTGTTGATGGAAATATTGAGATTTGGCAAATCTGAATGGAATCGGATGTAAATTTCGTGTTTTAATCGGATTATTGCTTCTCTTTCTGTGCAGCAAATTACTTTCTTTGCAAATTTTGACATTTTGTGGGGGAGGTACCAGAAGTAGTGGACCGATATTGTCCATCTCCGAACTCGATCTAAGTTTGACAATAATATTACGATGTACCAAGTTTTCACTAAATCGGATACTACCTAGCCAGCCAGCTAGATCGACTCCAAATGTCCTGAAATGGATTTGGTCCAAAGAGACCAAGGGTCTAATTCCGTAATTTCGATGAGGCACGTTTTGGCCGTATCATATGAGATACCCTCCCTAGCCATGTGGTTGAGGGTATAAAAATACATTTAAATTCATATCATTCGGGTCTTTGAGGTCTTCAATCAATAAAGAATTTTTTTTTTTGTGAGTAGAAAGACTTCATTAGAGTATTCTATGCATGGAGGACCAATAAGGGATTTCCTGTAGATAGAATATATTTAAGACCCTCTATGAATAGAAGATTTTTCAATAATTTACTACCCTTCTGTAGGTCTCCTATAAATAGAATAAATTTTACCCTGATAACCCTTCCGATGGTGATCTTCAGATAAAAGATATTCTAAGTGGCCTTAAAATTAAATGTCTTCTAGACGTATGAAAATAAAAGACTTTATAGCCTTAAATAGAAGACATCCTTTAACGAAGTTGGGCTTAAAGCTTGTGGTGGGCCTATTTACAGGACACTGCAACATAAAGGCCATGGGTGTGACGACACTGAACAATGCAGGCTTTGTCACGACGAGGAATAAACTGAGACGGTGAAGCACTTACTCTACCACTGCCCAACTCTTACAGGAGTGAGACGGAGGCTTACCCAAATTCTGCCAGACTTGTCTTCCCTCTCCAACACCGAGCCAGCGGTCATTCTTCGGTTAGCCAGAAGACTGAAATGGCTAAGAACGACACGCGGATACGCCGTGGATGCAAACCTACTAAACTGAAGAGAAAAGACTCTACTCAGATTCTCGCTTCTTCACTATCCGTTATTCATTTCCTTCTCTACTCTCTATTCTATTCTCCTATCTTCTTAAACTAGGATGAACACAATGGACCAATAGGACTCCGAGTGGAATGATTGTTTATACAACCGCGCATCCTTTAAACTAACCTATTTCTTGTATAAGTCTATTTAGACATAGAGCCTTCGAAAAGGCATTTTTTGTAAATTTTTCTCAAAAAGATACTTCTACATGTTTATATATCCCTTGTTTTCAATTTTTCAAATTCTGTATTGATTTCTCAGATATTTTCAGAATATTATCTTATCTCAGGAAATCATTATATTCTGATTAGATTCGATAACTTATTAATAATTTATGGTGGCCTCAGATTGCGATCACAATGGATATGAATTTGGTTTGTTTAATTCTAAAAATAAAAAAAGATCATTCAAGAAGATCTTGTGTGAATTTAAAACATCTTAGAAGAATGTGTTGAAAACGCTACACCGTTGTATATGGTTATTGCACCTGTAAATAATTTATTCGAAATCGTCAGCAACATTTTAACAGAAAAACAAAAACAAATGATCAAACATTTCACTAACCGGAACTTGAGTTCAGTTTCTTATCGCACAAAGCAGTCAATACAAACAAATTTAGACATAAAATACCTATTAAGAGCAAAAGAAAATGTTTCGTTTCGAAAATAATGGAACAAACATGATTCTGCCATCGATGCAACGAAGTTGAATAAATTTAGTTATTTTACTTATTTCACTTACTTTCCCAGAATATCATCCATGTCACCTCTGGATGGTGTAACCCCTCTATAACGGCCTTTACAAGACAAGGGCATCAGTTCATCGGCTGGATAGGCATTATCCATATACGCATGATAAGCGTGATAGAACATATCCCTGGCTTCCTCCCTACAAAAAAAAAGAAAAAGTATTTTGCCATAAATTTCGCCAAATAAATCATTAACAAAAAATAATACCTCAAAGCTTCCCGTTCCTTGTGGGACATATTTTGCGTTGGAATGGTATCACTGCTAACCAACGTGACAAAAAGCCCTAAAGCCAGAAGTGTGCAGATTACAATTTTCGCCATATTTTCTAATTTGTTAAATGAAGTATAGGAAGAACTATTGATGGTTGATATGTTATTTCGCTGAAATTCTGCTGTTCCGGTCATTGGCCCACTGCTTAATGGGCGGCAGTTGTGAGAAGTCCTTGGTAAACAAAAATTTGGCATAATGAACTGGTAATACTGCTTCAACTCTTTTCAAGCTGAAGTCAAGGAAAAACTTTGTCACAGTGTGTCGAAAAATCGTTTATATTTTTGCGTAAAGTGTTTTATTGCGAAACTTCGTTGCCGTCGCCGCGGTTTCATTAACCTTCACTTTGAACCTGTTATATCTTTCCAATCTTTTCGTTTTCGGCTTGCTTGCTTGCTGGCTGGCTATATTAAAAGTTGGTGTTTTCTTGGTCTCTTTTTGTGTGCTTTTTCTTGAATTTACTCATTTTCCGTGTCTGTTTTTGTTCTTTTTTTATTCTACACTTGCACTTTGTCAGCTCTAATTATGATGACGTTACGATGTTTATTTTGTTACCTTACGGAATACAACAACAACAATTAAGATCAAGGTAAATAATCAAATAGGCATATGTTGAAAAACAACAACACAAATCTAGGCTTCACTCTCACATCCTACAACAACAGAAAAAATATCATAATCTATCTGGCAGTGTGGCTTTTTTTGTTTTTGTAAGTAATTCGTTTCGTTCTCTTTGGAAACAAGATAAATTTTGCAACACGTCAATGTTTTCACTTTTTTACTTTGCCTTCTAATCTTTTGATCTTTTATCACTAAATTAAATTCTTCTACACGCACTCACACATAAACCTCTAAAATATTCTACTTTTTTATCGCTGTTCGTCTCGTCTGTCGTCATTGCTCTTTTTTCTTTATTTTCACAATGCAATAATTTTCTTTCTTCTACTCTAGTTAGTTTTGCGGTTCAGTGGTTTCACATTTCTGGGAAATACACACATAACAATACACCCATTAATATTTACACACATATTTCCAAAAGGGCATTTTCCCCTGCTTTAATGTGACATTCTCTTTATATTTATTTGTTTAAAATCTAATTATTTGTGATTTTCACAGATTTTGCTTGCACAGACGACGGACAACGAAGTCGAATGGTTTAGTTAGCCCCGGCGACGACAGCTCATCAAATACTAGTCAATCAACGGCGTCGTTCAATAACTTCTGTGAGATTGAGAGAGGAAATATATAGGGTCTGTTCTGTACGCCCATATGAAGATGAATTTAAATTATAAATTCAATTTATTCATATCTAAATACTAATAGCGCTTCTCTTGTCGTCAGAAGTTTTTCCGTGTGCAATCGGTTTAGAAAGAGGAAGAATAGATAAGCTATTTTACAAATATAAATTTATTTAAATTGTGTGTCTTTTATTTTTTTATGGGTGTGGGTTCATAGCAGCTTGAAGTCTTCGCATGACATATTTTGTGACAGAGCGTACTGCGATTCAAATCGCAAAACGTGATCAGCGGCCGTAAAAGTAGTACCTATTGATTTTGCTATGAACTGTCCTTACAGTGTCATTTCAATCAAAATTCATTGAGTAAACTGATGGCAACCCTATGTGCAACTTAAATAAGAAAACAAAGCCGCTGTATTTGCATTTAACTCTAACTGCCTTTGTGAATATAACTGGAGGTTTAACCTAGAACAGCAGATTAATTTCTAATAAATTAGTTTGTATGTAAAAGGGAGGTAATTTAACTTAATCTAATCTTAATAACTTTGTTTTTGTTTATTCACTTATTGTATTTTCTAACTTCAGTTCGCCGCTAATCTTTGGCATTGAACGCCGTCCAGAATTCCATCTCGTCTCATCCTTTTGGCGGGATTATTTGGTTTTTAAGTTAAGGAGTGAAAGCCTAGGTAGATCTACCTTGGTGAAAGCTTTGCTCGATATTTCTAACATTTCCAGGCGAAGAAAATTTCGTAAAAAATGAAAATTTATTCAATTTTTTGCATTACATCAATTACACTCCTATCGTTTGACCATCGACTAGGCCTCATATTGTAAACATTCCATTGATCAGTTGAATTGTTTTGTGATTATTAAAGGAGTTTGTTTTGCTTTGCACTGCATTTGCCTCCAAACATTTCCAAAAATGGTTCGTAAATATATTTTATTTATTAAATTGATTTGTAATTTTTATTTCCCTATTTAGCGTCGCAGTTTGGCCCCGAGTCAAAAGAATCCCTCCAAGAGCACTTTGAATTTTGTGACTCCATTTATAAACAAACGCAAACGGACGAGTGAGCAACAAAAAGTACAACCACAACGATTTCCTTTAACACCCAGACAATCCCAATTGGTTTCATTGCCACAGACGGAATATGAGCGGTTAATAGCTAAGGTATTGTCACAACCCTTCAAGGTACCAATTGCGAATTATGTACCAGAATATCATGCTAATCGTAGTTTGGGTGTCAGGAGGGCGACAGTGCGCAAAGCACTGCATGATCCCTTCGCATGCAATGCTTTAGTTCTATATACACCTCCCACATATACAGAACATGAACGGGTAACTATGGATCCATCGAAAATGCTGGTACATGTTGTTGTCGATCCCATATTGAGCAACATTTTGCGTCCCCACCAACGTGAGGGTGTCAAGTTTATGTATGAATGTGTGGAGGGAAAAAGAGGAGCATTTAATGGCTGCATTATGGCCGATGAAATGGGTTTGGGAAAGACATTACAATGTGTTACCTTGACTTGGACTCTATTGCGACAAAGTCCGGATTGTAAACCGACAATATCAAAAGCCATCATTGTGTGTCCCTCTTCGTTGGTGAAAAATTGGGAAAAAGAATTTCACAAGTGGCTGCAGGGGCGTCTCCACTGTTTGCCCATGGAGGGGGGATCCAAAGAAGACAATATACGGGCTTTGGAACAGTTTGCCTATAACACTAGCCAGCGATGTGGTACTCCGGTCTTAGTTATAAGCTATGAAACCTTTCGAATTTATGCTGATATTTTGTGTCGCAATGAAATTGGCATGGTTATTTGTGATGAGGGACATCGTTTAAAGAATAGTGATAATTTAACCTACCAGGCTCTGATGCGTTTAAAGACCAAACGACGGGTCTTGTTGTCGGGGACACCAATACAAAATGATCTCACCGAGTATTTTAGTTTAGTTAATTTTGCTAATCCCGAAATGTTGGGTACCGCTGCCGAGTTCAAACGGAATTTCGAAAATGCCATATTAAGGGGGCAAAATGCCGATTCTAGTGATAAGGAACGGCAGAGGGCCGTGGAGAAAACCCAAGAATTAATTGGTTTGGTCAATCAGTGTATTATTAGGCGCACCAATCAGATATTGACCAAATATCTGCCGGTTAAATTTGAAATGGTGATATGTGCCAAAATGACACCATTACAGGAGGCGTTGTATGTGAATTTCTTGAAATCGGATAAAGTGCGCAAGAATTTACAGGGTAGGCAAATTATGGTTTTTTGTTGTTATTTCTGTTAAATTACTCTTTTTAAGATTGCAATGAGAAGACCACCTCGCTGACCGCCCTGGCCGATATAACAAATTTAAAGAAATTATGCAGCCACCCAGATTTGATATATGACAAAGTTTTGGCCCGCGAAAATGGTTTCGAAAATGCCCAAACAATCTTTCCAACCAATCATAATACTAAGTAAGTTTGAAACATTATTTTTTAAATAATTTTATCCAGGCATGTCTTTTTTCTTAGGGAAATAAATCCCGAGTTGAGTGGTAAATTTATGCTGCTGGATTTCATGTTGGCCACCATACGCACCAATAGCGATGACAAAGTTGTTTTAATTTCAAACTATACCCAAACCTTGGATTTATTTGAACAATTGGCAAGGAAAAGGTTAAAAATTTGATTATACCTGCTTAATTGAGAAACTAGATATTTTATTTATTTTTAGAAAATATCCCTTTGTCCGCCTGGATGGCACAATGTCCATTAAGAAACGTAACAAGGTTGTGGAACGTTTCAATGATCCCGCCGTTGATTGTTTTCTATTTATGTTAAGCTCTAAAGCTGGCGGTTGTGGTTTGAATTTGATTGGTGCCAATCGCTTGTTTATGTTTGATCCTGACTGGAATCCGGCAAATGATGAACAGGCTATGGCTCGTATTTGGAGAGATGGTCAAAAGAAACCATGTTTCATTTATCGTTTGGTGGCGGTAGGTGTTTTTTCCAAGTCACATAAGGGATATTTGTGGTTTTGGAAGATAGTATATCGCATCCTTATTAAAATTTAAAGTCACCTCAAACCTACAATGTAATATGGGATATTTCTGTTTAGTCGTTGATTTGAAAATGTTCATTCGTGAAAGAATTTTTAACCAGCCAACCACTAGAAAAATTGAAAAATTTAAATACCCAAATTTATATCTGGTCTGCAAGAATGTAAATCTTTTTTCCTTTATGAAATCGAAAAAATTGCCAAAATAGTAGATTCTTGCAGGTTCTGGAACAGAGCAATCATGAACATTTTATTTCAAGACCTGCCTTTTAAGTATCAAGACAAATTTCCCCTTTTCAGACTGGTTCTATCGAAGAAAAAATCCTGCAACGTCAAACCCATAAAAAATCTCTATCCAGTACAATTATCGACAACAACGAAAGCGAAGAGAAACATTTTACCCGAGACGATTTAAAGGACCTGTTTCGTTATGAACCTGGCATATTGTCGGATACCCATAATAAGTAGATATATATTTTTTAATTTCGTTTTGTAAATTCCTGAAAATAATCCCCGCACAATTTCTTTCTCACAGACTCAAATGCAAACGTTGCATAAATAATATACAAAGTGAACCACCGCCCGAAAATTCCGACTGTACATCCCATCTATCGCAATGGTATCATTGTTCAAATAATCGTGGTTTACCGGATAGCAACTTAGCTGAGGCATGGCGTACCAGTAAATGTATATCGTTTGTTTTCCATCATCGATCTCAGGGCGAGGTGAAGGCGACGTCTGTAGATGTTGCAGCAAAGCGAGAGGCTGAAGCGTTAGATGTGGAAAGTAATTGTAAAAAATCAAAGAAAAGTCGGCGAATATCATCCGAAGATGAGGATTATGATGAGCCGCAAGATGACAGCAAGGACAGTGATTTTGAATAAAATAGAAATTTGAAAAATAATAAGTATAAGAAATTATTTATTTTAGTGCGAAGATTGTAGGCAAAATCCTCTTTTTATGGAAGACCTGACTATTGTTAGAGAGGCGTGTACATACAGGGTGAGATAAAAAACCTGCAACAAAGTCAAACGCCATAATATTTACATTTGTTTTTAAATTTTATTAAATGAAAGCTAAAAAAATCGGAAATAGCATCAAATTTTAGAATAAGTTTAGATTTGTTCGAATTGGTCACCTTTGGCACGAATTATGGCCTTCAAACGGCCAATGAAACCGTCACACGCTGCCCGAATGTTGCTCTGCGGTATTTTGGCCCATTCCCGGCGAAGTGCTTGCTTGAGGTGATTGACTTTTGGTATTTTTTAGTGCCAACCTTGCTTTCCAAAATACTCCAGACACAACAGTCCAACAGATTGATATCCGGAGATTTTGGTGGCCATTGTGCGCTGGAAATGAAGCGAGGAACTTCATTTTGCAACCATTCTTGGGTGGCGCTGAGACCTGTTGGAATGTCCAAGGTCTGCGGCCAAAATATTTGCTTTAATACATCCTCCAGAATATTTTTCCTATAATATTCGGTATTTATTCTGATGCCACGATCGATTAATACGAGCGGAGAGCGACGAGCATCGGCAATGACGGCGGCCCACACCTTCGCCATGGCCGGCGCTTGAGTTCTGGTGGCCAACCGAAGGTGCACATTTTCAGCTGACCTCTTTGGCAAGAAACACGATCATTTTGTTTGTTCACAAACTGCTGGACAACGAATGTTTTCTCATCGGAGACAAATCAAATTCGGCAGTTCACAGCTTTCGGCCAAGTGAAGCAACTCTTTAGCTCTTTTGAGTCTATTTTCTACCTGTTGGGGTGTAAGTTTTGCACTATTTGGAATTTCAATGGATTTACCTCGAGCTCATTTTTCAATATTTGCCAAATGGAATATTGCGATATGTTCAGCTCACGAGCCTATTTCCGGCCACTGCGACGCAGGTTTCAAGCAATTCGTTTCTTTACTTTTTGAACCATTTCTGCTGATGTTGATGTTTTCTTCCGTCCACTTCCTTGACGTCGGGCTACGCTACATGTGACGCGGGCACGAGGGATGGTACGAGACACAAAAGATTTATTCCCACTTAAATGCTGGAGTGCTCTAACGATAGCCACTTGTGGTATTCCAACCAAATTTGAAGAATTCACACTATCAGGCTTGAATTCCATCACGAATAATTTTTTTTCTGGAAAATTCTCACCAAAATGCCTTTGTACGCTTGTTAACAATATAATGAGCTGTCACTGGAATAATTTTAACAGCTATCGGACGAGTGGCTTAGAAATGACAGCAGTCTGAAGTTGGTTGCAGTTTTTTCCTTTGAAATTTCAAAGAAATCGTCTCCTAATGTTTTTAAAATGGTGTGCTACATTCTGCTCAATATGTGGTCAAAAGACTGATGTTATTGCAAAGTTTTCCATGACATTCCCGTCTTGATATCACCTTAAAAGTAAGTATCAAAAACCAAAAAATTGTTTTTTAAAATTTCTTAACAATTTATTTTATTTATAATAATTGCTCTTTGTTAATTAGTTTTATATAATATCTTAAAATTAAAAAAAAATCGGGATTGAATAGCTTTATTTATATGGTATACTATTTACACACTAATCGTTTAAAGCTGTTTGTTAATTTAAAAGAATTGTTCATTTTTATTTATTTATTTTTTGTTACAAATTCCCACAGCCTCCTTCCATGCTCGTTTAAAAAGGATCGTTAAAATATTTTTGTATAATACAATGAAATTAATTAATTAGTTTTTCGTTTCAAACTCTTTTCTCCTTGGCTTGGCAGTAGAAATAAGAGAAGCATTAGATTTTTAAAAGATTATTGTTTAGTTCATAGTAGTAGTAGGAAGAAAGAGATAACGTATTTGTCTATATAATTTAAAAAAATTAATATTTAACTATTAGTTTTAGTTATTGTTTTTTTGGATTTAAGTGAGATTTACGTTGTCGCTCAAAACAGGGTTTTTGGTTTCAGATCTTGAGTAGTTAATTTTTTTTTAAACTACAAGAAATATCTCAACAAAACTTATCATAACTCTGGTCTTACAAATGCAATAGTTGTTTTTTCTTTTTCAAATCAAAATATAGGAATACTAGGATGGCATATAAATTTATAACATAGGCTTAGGTGTGCTCTATTGAGCAAAATAAACTGAATTATATCCATTTTTTCTTATTTACACATCCTGTATTTCACTCCAGACATTACTTTTTTCAGGTGGCTTCTCCAAGGGTGGCACAATATTTTGACATTCATTGAGAAATGTTTTCAAACCTTGATAGTAACTAAAAATAAAGGCATCGTTAGGTTTTTAATGGTGCTTCAAAGCTTCATAACCTCTCACAAACTTACCCATCTACTATCCATGTATCGTTGTGTGAGCCTCCTATAAATTCTAAAATACGTTTACGATCACTACCACATGCCGTGTATAGGGCACGCATCATGCGTGGTGGTACCAAATTATCACTTAAACCGCTAACAAATAGAAATGGCACGGAACATTTGGAAATCTTGGTAATGGAGTCAAACTGCAAAATGACAAAACCAAACCAAAAGGTCATTAAAAATTATTCCCCAACAAAACCTCAATTATTTACCTTATTTTTATACAAAAGATAGGGTACATATTTGATCGAAGGATGTACCAATTCCACAGCCATCTCCGGAATACTTGTAAATGTATTCTCCACTATGGCACACATTATTTTTTGGCTATAAATTGTGTCGGCCGCCACGTCAATTGCCACAGCTCCACCCAGTGAACGACCGAACAACACTATCTGTGTATGATCCAAATCGTGGCGTGTAAACAAATAATCAATAGCCGCCCTCGCATCGAGAACAAGACCACGTTCACTTGGCGCCCCCGTTGAAAGGCCATAGCCTCGATATTCCACCATTAGAATATTACAATTTAAGCTATAAAATATACCCCAAACATTTTGCATACGATGACCCATATTACCAGCATTGCCATGTAGATAAACAAAGGTCGGCACACTCTTGGAACGTTCCTCCGGCTGTCTGACCCAAAAGGCATGCAGTGTTACTTTGTCGGCAGTACGTATGCTCACGGTTTCATGAGGTAGATTATGCATAGTGGGTATGGGTATATAGACTCGGGAATTTGCCGGCAAATCTGGATGATAGAGCAACACATCCTGGCCATAATAGAAAATGCCTAGAAACCAAAAACACAACCTTAATTTATAGTTCAAGGAGGCCACTACTAACACACACTTACCCAACAATACCAAACCGATTAGGCCAAAGGTTAAATAACCCCCATAGAAATAATAAAATACAAAACATAATAGAAATGAGGCCACAGTTATTGCCCAAACGCTGCGCGACTGTGGCAGCTTGACCACAGCAATTTCTTTGGTTATGGGCATTATTGCCTGCTGCTTGCTCGCCTCTCTCGTTAAAACGTCCAATAAAATCTAGCTAATTAGGATTAATCATTGCTAGCGGCAAACAATTACACTTTTGTCTGCCATTTTTTGTGTAATTTCCCAAATAAATTATAAAATTTTCTTCCAGAGATCCAACATTGGCTTTTGCACGATGGGCAGATTAAATTTGTGTTTTGTGTCCTCCTATTTTAAGCACAAAATTTGTTCCACATATAGATCTTTCCTCTGTTTCTTATTATCAATTAAATTTATAAATCTTTTTGAAGAATCAACGTTGCAATTAGGAATTATTTATTTGGATTCCGAAGGTGTTTTTTATTTACAAGAACTCGAGAACAAATCTCTCTCTCCTTTTTGGGGATTCTCTCTTTTTCGTAGTGGAGCGATTTTTTGTAAGGTAGGTGCAAATTTATGAATATTACGGTTAAGCGGAATCGAGAAGACAAAGCAGCGAATGAGGCGAGAGGACGAAAGTGAGAATGGAATAGAATAAGAAAAATTTAAAATAATGTTATAATGTTAAGAATAATCCTTTTGCTTTGTTTTTTCTTGAGCGTCAATATGTAACATGTGACATCAATTCCATTTAAAAATTGAAGTAATTTTGAATTTGCGATTTTCATGTCTGTATAACGAAATCTATTAATTTTAGAGATTTTTGGGATTGTACATTTAGTATATATTTCCGGTATGTACGTTGCCTTTTCACACGAGTGAATTGTTATATTCTGAAATTTCCTTTGTGCAATGTCCACCTACTTACCCTCGTAATTAATTTAAACATAGAAGATTGTGTATAAAGAATAAAATACAAACATAGAACAAAAATAGGTAAAATGTGTTAATAAAAATGCTAAATTTCGTTAATTATACTTCATCGCATAGCAAGCAATAAGAAGCTAAAAAACGATGTGTGGCTGTGCCCCTTTATAACTGGATTTGTTTTTCGTACAAACCATCGATATCTGGCATCAGTTGTACAAAAATAAATTAAGTGGCAGCTCTACTCTGCAAAGATGGCTGGCATAGTTAAAAGTGGTAAAAGTGCTTGCAGCTGCGAACATTTCGTATAAAAATTATTAAAAATAAAAACAAACAGTGCACAAAAACAACAATTTCCTAAAACAATCACAGTTCTTGCCACACAGTTAATGAATTAAACAAATTAACTATACATGTGTTGAAGTAATATAAATCACCAAAAAATTCTAATCAGCAACGAATGAGAAGAACCAAGGCAAATGTAAAAATATAGGTACGCGAGAATTCCTTCCATATATGAGCGTAATGTTCGAAAAACGAACGGCGACAAAGCGACCCTCAAAATACGGTGGGCAAAATTTGTGAGACTGGCAACGCTGTACGAAAAACAAAATGGCGATTTTCGACAAATGACTTGTGAATGGAAAGCGAAGACGACGTGAAAAATTTCTGTGTGCTGCGTTGGAGAAAAAAATTTTCAATACCTGACAAGAGAAAAAGAAAAGTAAATTAAGTGCATTTTTGCCATTAAAATATTGAAAATTCCAATAAATAAAGTGAATAATTAATGTCTGCTACAAGAATAAAGCCCATGCGGATTAAAAAATATCATGAGTCAAGTAAGTACCATAGAGAAATAGCGGTGTTCTGAGAAATTTATATATTTTGGCGGTTAAAAATATAAATATTTTGATAATTTTCAATGAATTGTATAAAATAAAGTTTATTTAACAATTTCCAATAGTTTTCGGGTGTTCCGTCTGCTGGGTGTGGCTGTAATTTAACGCAAAATTATGGAGTCTCATTTGAGACACCCAATGAAGAAATTACCAATAAGCGGCTCTACAATAAGGCGATATTGAAAATTTGCAAAAATTCCTACTTTAATATAAATGTTTCACAATTTTCTCCACGGTTTTGAATACTAGACGAATCTAGGATTCTGGAAATGTGAAAATTTTGAAAATCCTTTGGGTACCCATTTTTGCAATTTTAACTTAAATTTCAATATTTTGGTTTGTTTTCATTGAAATCTATGTGAAATTACCGTAAAAATAGTGTCCTTTTTGCTAAAAATGTATTCTTTTCAAAAAATTTCATTGATTACGTAATCACTTTCTCTGTGGAAAATTTTCCAAATGTGATTTTATTTGGATTTTTGAGGAATTTTCAGAGAATTTCGGTGCTAAATCTTAAAAATATATGGATTTTTCAATGAATCCTTGAGGATTTTACAAATTTTTTAATAGATTTTTGTGCATTTTATCGTTTTAAGCTATGTGAGCAAAATCTAGGGGAAATTATGGAAGAATATCTAAGAATTTCTATGTAAAATCCTAAAATTTTGATGATTTTTGAGGTATTTAAGAGATTTTTTGGGGTCTTGAACATTTTGAGTATGTTCCATGGTACCTTATGTAAGGAATCCATTGATCTTGGGCTAAAACAATCCTTCGGAATGGAAAATGTTGCAAATTTATTATGAATATTACAGAAAAGTTAAGAATTTTTACCAGATTTGATCAGAATTGATACTGACATATATACAGGGCTAAAAATTCGAATAAAATAAGATTGTTGTTTAGAACTTTCTCCTTGTAAAGTCAATTCCCTTGGTTTTCGACAATATATGTAATTTAAATGAATTAAATTCTTCAAAATCGTTCAGACCCGGTGTCTATTTTGGTCCATATTGGTCCAATTTGGCTTGTTGCAGAAAGCTTTAAGTATATCCATCTTTCTTCGCGATTCATTATAACTTAATTTAAAATAATAAAAAAATTTGTATTGAGTATCGTAAGAAGGTAGGATAATTTGGCCCGATTTTATTAGATATGGTCCTGATATATATATGATGATCTGTTCGTCCTAAGAAATTGTGCCTTGTAATTCGAATATGGTCCTCGCAATTGTTTTCCTAAAGTACAAACAATAAGTGTAAATTATATTGTTGCGAATCCTTCCTGACATTGCAGATCGGAAGTTCAATATAGGCCTCTTGATAAAAATTTATAAAAATATCAGTTGTAAACTATTGGATTTTGAATTTAAATAATTATTATAATTTATTTATTAGAGAATATTTTTTATTTATATCGCTTGGTCTCAATGGAAGTGGAAAATATTTAATCCCTTTGGATCTGAATTATTTGAATTTTTTTCAGATTGGAAATATATATCTCATAATAAAAAAATCCTCCCGTATTCCTGTGGAATACATTTACAAAGTCTAATAAATTTGTTGAGTTACTTATTTTCGAAATAAATTCCCGGCAAGAATCTTATGATGATACATGATATTGTTTAGAGCTATTCGACATAAATTATACAGAATACTTGGAACATCGTCGTGTGTTTCGATGAAAAATCATGCTTAAGGACATTAGCATCAAGCATTGTTGGGCCTTATTTTCATTTAATAGAACTATAGCAGATCCTTTTAAAAAAGTTTTAAATTATAGTTAATTATTTTCATATAATTTATTCGTTTCATTGTTTTTATCGACACTTTTGGTCAATATTAGTTCAATATCGAAAAAGTCGCTACATTGTCCTATATTAATTCTGAATTTGAAAATCTTCAGACGTCGACGATTTGTAGAGTATCCTAATGAAAAGAAATTAGAAATAGATAAAAATATTTGTAGACGATCTTTTTTCAACAATTCTTTGGAATAAATTTAGGAAAAAGGGTCATTTAAGTCAATATTGAAATGGAGAACTTGATAAGAAGCATTAAACTTATTTTTTGCCTTGGAAACATGAATGTATATTTTCTTGGGGTTGCAGTGATGCAAAATAAATGTATAATGTCTATATAATATTTTCACAGTTAATAATATTTTGAGAAATTAAAAAAAATATATATTTCGATATATTTCCTAGGAATAATGAAGTAAGTACTATTTCGTACAATTTGTATTAGACCCTTCGGAATTGATTTATCTATAATAGTGGTGTTTATATTGCAGATAAGGTCATATACGAAATCGACGATATGTTTTAGAAGTCCTTGCTAGAACTATCCAAAACACAACCAACTTCAATTAAATATAATTTATGGTACTCTGGAATTACAACGCAATTGAATTTCTTTTTTCAATTTTTAATATTTTTTTTTATTTATAAATTATGTTTTATTAATATCAATATGGATTACATTTTCGGCGAATTTTCTGATCTTGATAATCGGTAGCTGGAAAGTTAAAATAAAGTCGGAATTAGAAAAATGTTTATGAAAAAAAAAAAAAACTAAAATGTTGTTTTTTTTTTTTTTTTTTTGAATGTTCTTTCCGAATCTATGAGCCGTCGAATTGGAAACATACAATATGGGAACTTAAAATTTGTAAATTTTGTAAATATACAAAATGGTATTGATCACAATTACGATAATCTTTTATTTTCTTTGTAAGTTTTGGTAAGTAAAATGCAATTGCTTTATATTCAAAATCAGATCCAATTTTAATTTTTAGAAATTAACTTCGTTTGCAGTTCTGTGCATACATAATGTAATGTTCAGGAACTTAAAAACATTAACATTCTTTTAAATCATCCTGTTGTATACACTCCTGCGATTAATGCGAAAAATTAAATATGGCTTTAAATCTAATTGTTACCTATGCCATTGTAGGCCTTGGAGTATGGCATGAAAAGAAAAAACAAATTATTGACAGCTTTGATTTCACCCATTCTTTCGCGAGATATTTGATTTCATTCTTTAAAAACACATTTTGATTCCGCGTGATTCATTTACTGAAAACATATATGAGACCGAATGTTGCACCTCATGATTCCGTTGAAGCAATTGGGGTAATAAGCACTTTAAGCTTGATATTACCTAAAATAGGTATTAAGAGCCTACGTAATAACACCCGAAGATCAACACACTTTGTTAATAAGAACAAGTAAAATTGTATCAGTCGGTTTTACCGACAGATGTATACCCACCTCAGTCTTGACTTATGATTATGAAACAGTTGGAGTAGGTTCCGAAGCATTTGGCCTATATTGACCAATTCGTATCTCACCTAAGACTGATATAAATATTATGACGTGTCATAAGATGTGTGCAAATATTTTCTCCGAACTGATCTAAGTTTGACAATAATATTACGATATACCAAGTTTGGACAAAATCGGATACTCCCTTCAAGAATTATCGTGCACATTAGCCAGACAGACGGACGAACGGACATTGCTAGATCGACTCCAAATGTTTTAAAACGGATTTGGTCCAAAGAGACCTGAGGTATAAAACCGTTATTTCGATTAGGTACGTTTTGGCCGTCGCCATATGGCTAGTCATATAGGGGTCCTTAGAGCTTGCTTACAATGCGAGCTTACAATGCAATTTGCAGGAAAATAACTGTCATGTTTCCTTTAGTTTCAATTAATTCCTCGTCACACTTAGATCGAGTTCGGAAATGGGCAATATCGGTCCACTCCTTCTGATACCTTCCCCCACAAAGGTTCGAAATTTTCAAAAAAAAAAAAAAATATTTTACTACACAGAAAGAAAGGGATAATCCGATTTTCCTCCAACTTTGCATATCTAATAATTGCATCAGTACTAGGTCAGATGCGAAAATGGACAATATCGACCTACTCCATCAAGTACCTGCCCCACAAAGGCTCGACATTTTGAATATTCATGAAGCTCATAAAACACGAAATTAACATTTGATTCCATTCCGACTTGGCAAATTCCAATATTTCCATATACACAGGATCTGTTATAAAGATGGTAGAGATCGGACCATTCCTCAAAACTTTTTTTGAACTTTTTCTTCAAAGTTTACACATACGAACATTTTTGATAACACAAGATCTGTTGCAATAATATATATCTGCGAAAACCTTCTGGTACCTCATCCAAAAATAATTTTCAAAACATTTAATACCCTATAACAGCGTGTGTGTAGGGTATAATAAGTTGAAGAGGATCAAAAAGTTCGAACCACAAAATGGTCCTAGACCCATCATGTTGTATGTCGATCTTCCTAACCGACCAAAATATAGACCAAAAATAGAAATTTTTCATGATTTTGCATTCGCTCTACACGTAAACATGGGTTTACAGTGTGGAACGTAAAGAAGCCTACCATTTTGAATGGTCATCGGACAATTTTTATCGGTTGAAACGGACTACCCGTTATATCAATTTTTTATAAAATTATCTGACTTCAAACGTGTTCCGTTTTAAAATACCAGTAAGACCCTTTGGGTACTGCTGTTAAATTTTCAAAAAACATAAAGTGGGTGAGGTTGTTATATGGGGGCCATACCAAAACCGGAACCAAGGATTGTCATTTATCAAATCTTTTTAAATACCACATTTGAAATAATTTCGTGGGTAAATGTGACTAGGATTATCAAAACACCGAATATCGGTGGGTATCATTATATGTGCGCTATTGGAAAACGTGGACCTATACATACAAAGTTTGGTCACCGGAGGTAGAACCCATTATGAACTACAATTATCAATTTTTAGACAAATTCGAGGGAAAATGTTGTGAAAATTATTAAATACGAATATCGGGAGGTACCGTTATATGTGCGCTATTGGAAAACGTGGACCTATATAAACATTGTGTCGCCACTGGATCTAGAATCCATTATAACCTACAAATACAAATTTTTTGACAAATCCGTGGAAAAATCTGGCAAAAATCATCAAAATACCGGATATCGGGAGGTACCGTTATGTGGCGGCTATACCAAAACGTGGACCGATATATCTCATTTTCAATAACAACCATCCTAGACACAATACATATTGTTCTACCAAATTTTGAAGCTCTACGTCAAATAATGTGGGCTGTATCGTTATTTCAACAGACAGGCGGACATCGTTAAATCGACTTAAAATTTTATGCTATCTACGTTTTCCAATATCATGAAGAAATCTTTCATTCTGATTTCAGATGTACAGAAACTTCTACAATTTATATTTGTGTTGGCAAATGGTCGGTCTTATCTGACTATAGGTTTTACTTGTTATCAAAATCTACGGAGTTGAAAGAGTCATTATTTTTTTCAACAGAATCAATGAAGCCAATCTCAAAGTCCATGATAATTTATTTATACATTTTTAATGCTAAAGCTCCCAAGGCCAGGGACCACTTTTTAAACCTTTTCAAATGTAGTCTATATGTTTTTTTTTGATATTTATATGAATAGAATTTGATGTCGTACGGGCGTTACCTAATCATGAGAGGTATGACGTATTATAGCACTACTGTGTAGAGATAACAATAACCTTTCTAATTCCTGTATTGGTATTTTGTCAACACTGGCTGGCACGACGGTATTAAAATTACAATGACACTTAAAAAATAAAAAATAAATCTTGATAGGATTTTAAATTTTATAAATGTTCATGGACTCCTTGCGAAAACAGGATAATTGTCTGGGAAATTGTTTTAAAAAAATCCAAAAATTTTATTAATTTGTCGCCATTTTCATGACTCCCCCATTTTTTTCATTTTTAGGAACACAATGAATCCTTTAATAGTATAGGATCGGAAGAGAATGACGACGATAACCGTGGAGAAGAAGAAGAGCAGCATAATGACGGATCGGGCAGTGGCAGCGGTAGTTCGTCCGAATCTGATTCCGATTCAGACAGTTCATCGTCCTCATCAAATTCTAGCGGTGGGGGACGTTCGTCACCCGAACCACCAGATCGAGACGAAGATGACAATGCCCGGGACGGACATCAAGAGTCGGTCTATCGTCAACAGCAAGAAGAAGAGAAACAAAAACAATTTGCAGAAGCTGGACTTCCACCATCAGCCGTTGAGGCCCAAGAAGATACCAAAACAAATACAAATGGCTATTCCGATGACAATGAAAGCGGCAGCGAAAGCGGTAGCAATTCCGATTCAAATTCATCAAATGATGAAGATGATACCAATGAACATCATCATGCAGCAAGAGAAGAAGTTGCAAATAACAATGACGACCGAGACGACGGACACAAGGAACAACATAATGCTAACCATAATACGACGGGGGGAACATCGGTTACCTCGGTCACAACAGATAACAATACCTCACACACAACAAACGATGATGAAGATGATTCCAATGATTCGAACGATTCGGAAGATTCGAATAGCGATAATCAGGAAGAAAACGAGAGTCAATCGGCTGTGGCTGTGGCGGCGGCGACGAAGACGACGACAGCGTCCGAAGCTGTGAACCATCAAGAGGCAAACAGTGATGCAGGCGACAATGACGATGAGGCCTCCGATTCTGGAGAATCTGGCAAGTCTTCAAACTCTTCAGCCCATTCGGCTTCGGAGTCCAGTAGTAGCAGTAGCAGCAGTAGTAGTAGTGTAAGTATTTTGCTTCCAACATCCTCTACACATTGTCAATAGATACCAGCATGGCTATAAAATAATTAAAATTAATTTTATTTCCATAGGAGGACACCGAAGAGGATTATCAACCAAAACGTTCCGCTCGTCAGGCACGTAAGCCACAACCTGTTCCCGAAAGGGCCAAGAAACCAGTTAAAAAGAAAAAGAAACAAAAGTAAGACAACCTCCAGTAGCCAATGCGTTAACTTTGCTGATAAGTGCTCTGTTTTTTGAAATCAATTATTTTTTAGCTGGAATTCCGACGAGAGCGACGAAAGCGATGAAGACAGTGAAGACTCGGCGCCCCCTGCAAGACGTAAGCCCCCAGCAAAACAAAATAAACAGCCGAGAAGAAATCGAAAGAGCGCCTCGACGGAAGACAGCGGAGAAGACAGTAAAAGGTGAGATTTAAATTCGATTTTTTTGAGTGGAGGATGATTTAAATTTCTTTTGTTTTTCTTCTTCTTTTTTCTAGATGTGGAACACGTCGAGCTGCAGCTGCTGTTAGCTATAAGGAAGACTCCGATAAAACTGATCCCGATGATCTGCTAGAAGTGGAATACGATGAAAGCCAAGCAGAAGCAGCCGCATTGGCAGCCGAGGAAGATGAGAAATGTGAAACGATAGAAAGGGTCTTGTATAAACGTCAGGGCCGGAAAGGTTGCACCGGCAATCAAACTACCATTTATGCCATTGAAGATAGTGGCTGTGATCCCAATGATGGTGTTGATGAAAATGATTTGGAAAACACCGAAACACAATATCTGATCAAGTGGAAGGGCTGGTCTTACATCCACAACACCTGGGAATCGGAGGCCACACTGAAGGAACAAAAAGTCAAGGGTATGAAGAAATTGGATAATTTCATTAAAAAGGAACAGGAGCAAGTCTATTGGATGCGCTATGCCGGTCCCGAGGACATTGACTACTACGAGTGCCAAAAGGAGTTGCAAAATGATTTGATCAAATCGTACAACAGTGTGGATCGCATAATTGCTCGCAATGTTAAACCCGAAGGACCTGTGGAATATCTATGTAAATGGCAGTCGCTGCCATATGCCGAGGCCACCTGGGAGGACGGTGCTTTGGTGATGCGTAAATGGAAACGTTGTGTCGATCAGTTTGAGGAGCGAGAAATGTCCAAATGTACCCCATCGCGGCATTGTAAAGTTTTGAAAACACGTCCCAAATTCTATAAAATCAAAAATCAACCCGATTTTCTCAGGGAAGGCCTGTCACTGCGTGACTATCAAATGGATGGCCTCAATTGGCTACTGCATTCGTGGTGTAAAGAAAATTCCGTTATCTTAGCCGATGAAATGGGTTTGGGTAAAACCATACAGACCATTTGTTTCCTCTATTCCCTGTTTAAGGTCCATCATTTGTATGGGCCCTTCCTGTGTGTGGTGCCGCTGTCCACGATGACGGCGTGGCAGCGTGAATTTGATCTCTGGGGACCCGACATGAATGTGGTCACCTATTTGGGTGATGTGAAATCACGTGAAATGATACGTCAGTTCGAGTGGACATTTGACGGTTCAAAAAGACTGAAATTTAATTGTATTCTCACAACATATGAGATTGTCTTAAAGGTAATTGGTTGGATTTACACATATTTTTTAAATTTTTAATTTTATTTTAAATTTGATTAACTTTTCTGAGTTTTTTTATTTTTTGAAAATCAAAAAATTGGATCAATTTTTTTTATTATTTTTTAAAATAAAATTAAATTTCCATTCTTTTTCATCTTCTCTTTTTGGTCTAGGACAAATTATTCCTTGGCACCTTGCAATGGGCAGCATTGCTTGTCGACGAGGCTCATCGTTTAAAAAATGATGACTCTCTTCTCTATAAATCGCTCAAAGAGTTCGAAACTAATCACAGATTATTGATAACCGGTACACCACTGCAAAACTCGCTCAAAGAACTTTGGGCTCTGTTGCATTTTATTATGCCCGAAAAGTTTACCACCTGGGAAGATTTTGAATCTGAACATGGCAATGCGGCCGACAAGGGCTATACAAAACTGCATCAACAGCTGGAGCCGTATATTTTGAGACGTGTAAAGAAAGATGTCGAGAAGTCGCTACCAGCAAAAGTGGAACAGATTTTACGTGTCGAAATGACCTCGCTACAAAAGCAATACTACAAATGGATATTAACAAAGAATTTCGATGCACTGCGCAAGGGCAAAAAGGGCTCCACATCGACCTTTTTGAATATTGTCATTGAGCTGAAGAAATGCTGTAATCATGCGGCATTGATACGACCCTCTGAGTTTGAATTGATGGGTATGGGACAAGATGAGGCATTGCAAACGCTTTTGAAGGGTTCTGGCAAATTAGTTTTATTGGATAAGCTCCTATGTCGCCTCAAGGAAACCGGCCACAGAGTACTCATCTTTTCGCAAATGGTTCGAATGTTGGACATTTTGGCGGACTATCTGCAGAAGAGACATTTCTCCTTTCAACGCTTGGATGGCAGCATAAAGGGTGAAATCAGGCGGCAAGCTTTAGATCATTTCAATGCCGAAGGCTCACAAGACTTTTGCTTTTTGCTCTCCACCCGTGCTGGAGGATTGGGTATCAATTTGGCCACAGCAGACACTGTGATTATTTTCGACTCAGATTGGAATCCTCAAAATGATTTACAAGCCCAGGCCAGAGCCCATCGTATTGGCCAAAAGAATCAGGTGAATATTTATCGGCTGGTAACGGCTCGCTCTGTGGAAGAGCAGATTGTTGAAAGGGCCAAACAAAAGATGGTCCTCGATCACTTGGTGATACAACGTATGGACACGACAGGTCGCACTGTTCTAGATAGAGGCGGTTCTGGTGGTTCCAATCACACACCCTTCAATAAAGACGATTTGTCTGCCATTTTGAAATTTGGTGCCGAAGAACTGTTCAAAGATGAACAGGATAACGACGAGGAATTAGTTTGTGATATAGATGAGATTTTAAGGAGGGCCGAAACCCGCAATGAAGATCCTGAAATGCCAGGAGACGATTTGCTGTCGGCCTTCAAAGTAGCCAGCATTGCGGCGTTTGAAGAAGAACCCGACACTGCCACTAAGGATAATGATTCGAATAATCAGGGAGCCGATGAGGATGATACAAAAGACTGGGATGACATTATACCCGAAGATTTTCGGAAAATTGTCGAAAACGAAGAGAAATCTAAGGAAATGGAGGATCTCTATTTGCCGCCAAGACGAAAAACAGCAGCTAACCAACAGGAGAAGAAGGGCAAGAAGGGTCAAGCGGCGGCAGATGACAGCAATGATTCGGACTATGATGGTGGTTCAGATGGCAGCAATGATGGCGAAGGTGGTGGCAAGTCGAAGAGACGTGGAAGGCCGGCAATGAAGGAGAAAATTGTTGGCTTCACCGATGCCGAAATTCGACGTTTCATTCGATCGTACAAAAAGTTCCCTGCTCCCCTAGAACGTTTGGAAGCCATTGCCTGTGATGCTGAGCTGCAGGAGAAGCCATTGGCCGAACTGAAACGCATTGGTGAAATGCTGCATGATCGCTGTGTCCAGTTTCTGGAGGAACACAAGGATGATGCTGCCAAGAAAACAGCAAATGCAAATGAGAATGCAGCTGGCGACGATGCCGGAGCCAAACAAAGACGTAGCCGAGCTACATACTCCGTAAAATTAGGTGGTGTCTCTTTCAACGCCAAAACATTACTCACCTGCGAAGAAGAATTGAAGCCATTGAACAGTGTCATTCCCGCCACAATAAACGAACGTCTTTCCTGGTCTTTGGACCTGAAGACACGACCTGCCAATTTTGATGTAGACTGGAGTGTGGACGAAGATTCCAAACTGTTGTGTGGTATCTATCAGTACGGCATTGGGTCTTGGGAACAAATGAAAATGGATCCCAGCCTCAAGCTGACGGAGAAAATACTGCACAACGATGATCGTAAACCGCAAGCCAAGCATTTACAGTCGAGAGCAGAATATCTGCTCAAGATAATCAAAAAGAATTTGGAGACCAAAAAGGGGGCTGAAACCAAAAAACGGAAGCCCAGAAAACAAAAAGAATCTAAGGCGGTGGCCAATGCAGCAGCCGTTAACTCAGCGGCGGCCCAGACGCCAGAGAGGAAATCACGTCATGTCTCCGAAGGTGATGAACTTTCACAAACGGCCGGCGATAGCAATGCCGCCGCACCTACCGAAAAGAAATCTCGCAAGGAACGCAAAGAAAGTGCCAAAGTAACGGCAGATCAATCACTTGATGAAACAACATCACACGATGTGGATGCATCCAACACCTCGACGACCACAACTAGCAAGAAAAAGAGTAAAAACTCCACCAAAGACAAGGATGGTACTCCGAAATCCTCGGCCAAAACGAAAAAAGCTGCCTCGGCTGATTCCACCAATAAACCCATGCATTTTACGGCCAACAATGAACCTCGAGCTTTAGAAGTTTTGGGTGATTTAGATCCGAATATTTTCAATGAGTGTAAGGAGAAAATGAGGCCAGTGAAGAAGGCTCTTAAGGCCCTTGATCGTCCCGATACAAGTCTCTCGAGTCAAGATCAAATCAAGCATACCAGAGATTGTATTTTGTCCATAGGCAAACAGATCGATGCCTGTCTGGATGCCTACAACAAGGATTCGGAGAAGAAGGAGTGGCGCTCGAATCTGTGGTATTTTGTTTCGAAATTTACGGGTAAGAGATAAAGGGGGAGATTTCATTTTTTGGAAAGGCGTTATATTTTTATTTATATCTTTTTTGCAGAATTCGATGCCAAAAAACTTTTCAAAATGTACAAAAATGCCCTTAAGAACACAGATGGTGGCGGCGATAGTGGCACACCGAAATCATCTGATAAGACAAAATCCTCCTCCAAATCCCCACAGAAGCGGTCGCAAGAAGATTCTTTAACACAAAACGGTAAAGAGGACACGGCGAATAAGTCGCCAGTGAAAAAGAAGAAAAAGGACAAGGACAAAGAAAAGGAAGATACAAATCAAGGCACACCAAAGTCGGAACGATTTATGAAAGTTGGTAATTCGAACAAGCCGCCGCCGCCGCATACACCCGGCATGAACCCGCATATGAATAAAAACAAGAGACCGCCACCCCAAACGCCTGGTGGGGCGGCTGGTCATAACAGTTCTCCGATGAAACGAAAGCGGGAGGAAAATGATGGTGGTGGCGTTGCAAGTATGATGGGAGGAGGAGTTGGTGGTGATGGCAAGGGGTTATCATTTAAAAGGCTCAATATGGATGATCAGGGAGGAAGGTGTGTAGATGAATTTTCTTTGAAAAATTATAATTTAATTTTTTTCCTCTTCCTTTTAATTTAAGAAATCGCGATGATCGCAAGAACCGCCATCGTGAGGACTATTACGGCAGTGGAAATAGCCATGATGGTCTGAACACTAGTCGTGGCAGTGCCAATAATGATCGTCGCACATCAATGAATTCACCTTCTACGCCGAATAATCGCATGCATCCGAACAACTCACGCCTACCGCCAGGATCCACATCCTCACCCTATTGTGATGGCAGTGGGGGTGGTGGTGGACCTGGGGATCGTTGGGGTCATAATCGAGATCGGTAAGTTGCATTTTGCAATATTTTGATACCCTACAGCACAAAGTGGTGGTCAGGGTATTATGTCTTTGTGCATTTGTTTGTAACAGGCAAAAGGAAACGAGATAGTAGAACCTCTAGATCCTTTTGATGATCTGTATAGAATCACGTTCTGAGTCGATTTATGCATGTCCGTCCGCCTGTCTGTCCATATATTTTTGTGAACAAAGTACAGGTCACATTTATTGCCAGATCCATTTGTTTGACCCAAGGAAGAATTGGGGATAATCGGTCAAAATTTAGATATAGCTCCCATATATATCTTCGTCCGATTTGTCATTTATTGTGTACCAAACGTTTAATGCCAGCTCAAATAGTATGGAATTTTGCATACACGACCGAATTAAGCCTGGTAATAAGTATACCAAATTTGATCGAAATCAGTTCAGATTTTGATATAGCTCCCCTATATATCTTCGTCCGATTTATTTTTTATTGTGCACCAAACGTGAAATATTACTCCATGTGGGATGGAATTTGGTACTCACCATAGAATTAAGCCTGGAAATAAGTATGCCAAATTTTATCGAAATGGGTTCAGATAAAGCTATAGCTCACACATATATTAATCTTCCGATTTTATATTTTTGTTCTTCGCAGCCGTATTATGCACTCTGTAACAATGATATTTAGGGAAATGTATGAAATACAGCACAGAAATACCTTTTCCAAATTTTATCGAGATCGGTTCCGATTTGGATATAGCTCCCATATATATCTTCATCCGATTTGCCGTTTATTGTGCACCAAACGTGTAATAGTAGTCCAAATTGGATGGAATTTGGTACTCACCACCAAATTAATCCAGGAAATAATTTCGGTTCAGATATAGCTATAGCTCCCATACATATTGTTTATCCGATTTGTTATGTTTTTATTTATTTTTTTTTTTTTGTTACATGAAGCTCTACTAAATATCCAAAGGGGGTGTAGGGTATCATAAACTGTCGGCCCCGCCCGACTTTTCGACTTTCTTTACTGGTTTGTGCTTCCTTGGGATTTGGGATTCGGGAATGGCTGTTGTATTTATGATTGAAATTGGAACTTGCCAATAGGGGATGTGTTATCGAAGTTGTGACCTTTATACATTAAGACATATCACGAAAAAAAGCATTACTCACAGTTATAACATCCAAATTTTTTTATAGGTATAGCAGTGGCAGCGGTGAGTACAATAAACGTGAACGTTATGACTCCTACAACAACCGATCTGGCGGAGGAGGAGGTTATCATCGAGATCACAAGGATCGAGATAGAGGAGATCGAAGATTTGACAAAAGAAGGTAGGTGATGGGAAATGATGTGGTGTATATTCTCAGAGATTTATAAGAGATAAGATTTTATAAGAATGGCCACTTCTACAGGGTGAGATAAAAAAGGTGCAACAAAGTGAAATGCCATAGTTTTTACATTTTTTTTAATTTTATTGAGCGAAAGCAAAAATGTCGGAAATACCATCAAATTTTTGAATAAGTTTAGATATGTTCGAATTGTTCACCTTTGGCACGAATTATGGCATTCAAACGGCCAATGAAACCGTCACACGCTGCCCGAATGTTGCTCTCTGCGGTATTTTGGCCCATTCCCGGCGAAGCGCTTGCTTGAGGTGATCGACACTTTTGTATTTTTTAGTGCCAACCTTGCTTTCCAAACTACTCCAGAAACAATAGTCCAGCGGATTGGTATCCGGAGATTTTGGTGGCCATTGTGTGCTGGGAATGATGTGAGCAACCTAATTTTGTAACCATTCTTGGGTGGCGCGTGCTGAGTCCTGTTGTAATATCCAAGGTCTGCGGCCAAAATGTTTGCGTGTCCAAGGCTTTAATACACCCTCCAGAATATTTTCGCGATAATATTCGGCATTTATTCTGTTGCCGATTAATACGAGCGGAGAGCGACCATCGGCTGTTATGGCTGGCGGCCCACATCATCACCATGGCCGGCGCTTAAGTTTTGGTGGCCAACCGAAAGTGCACATTTTCACCTGACCTCTTTGGCAAGTAAACACGATCATTTTGTTTGTTTACAGACTGCTGGACACGAATGTTTTCTCATTGGAGACGAAGAAAACCAAATTCGGCAGTTCACCACTTTCGGCCAAGCGAAGCAACTCTTTAGCTCTTTTGAGTCTATTTTTCTTTCTGTTGCGGTGTAAGTTCTTGTACATTTTGAAATTTCAATGGCTTTACCCCGAGCTCATTTTTCAATATTTGCCGAATGGAATAATGGCATATGTTCAGCTCACGAGATATTTTTCGGCCACTGCGACGCGGGTTTCAATCAAGTCGCTTCTTTACTTTTCGAACCATTTCTGCTGATGTTGCTGTTTTCTTCTGTCCACTTCCTTGACGTCGGGCTATGGTACGAGACACAAAATATTTATCCACATTGAAATCCTGGCTGGTGTGCTCTAACAATAGCCACTTGTGGTTTTCCAGCCAAATATAAAGAAATCACACTATCACGCTTGAATTTCATCCATTCCACGAATAACTTTTTTCTGGAAAATTCTCTCCAAAATGCTTTTGTACGCTTGTAAAAAATATATATTGAGCCGTCGCTGGAATAATTTTAACAGCTTTCGGACGAGTGGCTTAGACAAGACAGCAGTCTGAAGTTGGTTGCAGTTTTTTTTTTATCTCACCCTGTTTATAGCTGAGAATATTCTAAGATATCTCTTTTACAATTATAGACTTGTGAAAATCGTTAAAATATTGATATATATTTTTTGTTACAGATACCCACCTTCACACCCGCCACCCCATGGCTATGGTAATCATTATATGCCGAATTATTATATGTCACCTAATGGTGTTGGACCACCAGTTATGGGCGGTGGTGGACCCCATGGTGGTTATAGTGGTGCTGGCCGAGGCCCAAACATTGGTGATCCACGTTATAATCATTCGGCCGATTGGTCAAGAGAATATCCACCTGATTCGTATAGAAGAAGCGGTGGTGGAGGAGGAGGAGGAGGTCCACCTCCTGGCAGTGGAGGCAATAATAATAGTACAGCAGCTGCTGGCCCCATTCCACCTAGTGCTGAAAGAAGACCGCCACCACCACCATCATCATCCCAAACATAATACACAACAAAAGAATAAGACTAGAAGACTTTGTGTGCGAAAGAAAACCAACCCTCAAGCTCATACAATAACAACAATTTTCAACAACAAAAAATTAATAGAATTCTTGCATTCTTATCCTCCTCCGGTTCACTATCTATATACGATGTTTAGATCATTTTTGATGTGTGTAAAATCAGTTTCATTTGAAATGAAAAATTCCACCCACACTCCATGTACATTTCTCTTCTTGAACTAGCGTTTCGATTTCATTTATACCACCCAGATCCACATTTTTTGCCAACAAAATTCATTATACATATTAATTGTATTTACATTTATATATATAGAAACAACAGCAACAACAACAATGTGTATGTAATATATGTTAGAAATGTATAACCAATCACTTAACCACAAAAACCATTAGCAGACTCATGATAACATTTTTTTTGTTGTTTCCATAAATTCTTTAAAGGGTTTAAATGCAGTTTTACAACATGAACGCAATTTTTTTTATTTAGATTCATTCATTCTAGCCCAAACATAATCTTTCGTTTGTTCCTTCTTTACATTTGTATGTGTAGTTTAAGGATTTAATTTGTTTGCTTGAATTTTGACGAGTTTTTTTTTCCCTGAACTCTTATCTCATCTTACCACTGCAACTTCTCCTCCCATCTACAATATCTACCTGTCTATGGATATAATTAACTTGCTGCTGCATATATGTGTATACATATGTATTAGCTTAGATTTCATTTGATTTTTAAATTCACTTTAGGTTATTTTCTAATGTCCTTTTTTTACATACTCTTTATATATATACATAAACAAATGTAATTCTTACAAAATACTGTATAAAGTATATTTTAAGTTTAAGTTAAGGATATTTCTATATTATAAACAAAAAACAAAAACAACAACAACCCACATTACATATAAATATATTGAAAAAACAAACAGACCCCATTTATTTATAAAAAAGAAAAAAAAAACGAAATCAAATTCCAAATTGGAATTTTTAAATTTATTGCTTAATATTAATTATAATTATAATAATAAAATAAAAAATAAACAAAAAAAGAAAATACTATTAAAAAAAAAAACAAAAACAACACACAAAAATAAAGGAATATCATTTTTGGGATTGTCCATGAAAAAATTACACGGCACTGTGTTTTTCTTTTTGCCCCCGGGTTATAATTTTGACAATGGGAAATTCGTTATGTATTCTCGTGGGAAAATAGTCGACTTATGAGACAATGTCTCCTTGATAACACCATTTCCCAGTTATCAGAATCAGCCGCAAAGGCTACTAAATGTGAACTTGAGGGAATTTATCCCTTGTCGTTTTAAGAATTCGCCAAATCGGGCCAAATTTTTACATTTGATATCAAAAAAAAACGATCGAAATTTATTCTGTACGCCCATTTTAGTTTGTTAAAAAAAATTGGAAAAAATTGCCACTCAACTCCAACATTTAAAGTCTAGTCCTTTCTACCGAAATTTTTGATAAAATCCAGCAAAAATTTGCTTTTTATACCCTCAGCCATATGGCTAGAGAGGGTATATAAGATTTGATACGGTCAAAACGTGCCTAGTCGAAGTAACGGTTTTAGACCATAGGTCTCTTTGGACCAAATCCCTATCAGGATTCTTGGAGTCGATCTAACGATGCCCATCCGTCTGTCTCTTCGTCAGTCAAGCTGGAGCGCACCATAACTCTCGAAGGGAGTATCCGATTTGATCCAAACTTGGTACATCGTTATATTATTGCCAAACTTAGATCGAGTTCGGAGATGGGCAATATGCGTCCACTCCTTCTGGTATCTCCCCCACAAACTGTCAAAAATGGCATTTACTGCACAGAAAGAGAAAGGATAATCCGATTTTGTTACAACTTTGCAAATCCTAATATTTACATCAGTGCTACAGCGAGTGCGAAAATGGACAATATTTGTCCACTCTATCCAGTACCTCCCCCACAGAGTCAAAATTTTGAATAATTACAACCCTTATAAAATGTGAAATAAGAATCTGATTGTCTTCAAATTTCACACATTACAATATTTTTAATAACCCAAAGTCTGGTGTAAAGATGGAATATATAAGTCTACTCGTTCTAGTACCTTCCCCACAAAGGGTCAAAATTTTGAATATTCATGAAGTCCATAAAATTAATATCCGATTTCGGTCAGACTTGGCACATCTCAATATTTCAATCAACACAAGATCTGTTATAAAGATGATAGAGATCGGACCATTCCTTCTGGTACCTCTCCCACAAAGGGTCGAAGTTTTAAATAACCAAAACGATCACAAAATCCGAAATAAACATCCGGTTCTCTTCAAATAACACACATCACAATATTTATATTAGCCCAAGGTCTGGTGTGAAAATGGGATATACCGGTCGACTCCTTCTGGTACCTCCCCCATATAGGATTCAAGAGTTTTGGTAAAAAAAACGCACAAAAAAAACGAAATAACCTTTCAACTCTCTTCAAATTTTACACAGCCAAATATTTTTGCTAATGCAGGATCTGTTGCGGAAATGATATGTATCTGCGAACCCCTTCAGGTACTCACCCACAAAGTGTCACAATTTTCAATATAACTTTTATCTGTCATAACTTGCGAAACAATTCGGCGATTCTTTACAACTTGCTATCTCTAAATATTTCTGTCAACAAGGAACCTAAGATGAATATGAAATATACATCTGTCGGCAAAACCGATTGATACTATTTTACTTGATGGATTTGAATTTGGATTTTCGAATCAATTATGTTTTGCCCATTTAACGGTAACCAGACCATCCTACACTACAACATCGCAAATACATTACCCACTAAACGCCAACTGGCCTGTCATTGGAAAATTCATCAAAACTTGTTTTAGACAACAGTTCAAAGTTTCTAATCTTCTTCGTGTTTTCAAGGTTTTTTCAAGTGTAAAAATTACTTTCATGTAAAAAATAATTTTTCAAATCAGAAGCAAATTAAAATTCTTGCAAATAAAAAAATAATATATTATTAATATATTTTGTGTAAATCTAAATAATCTAAAAAAAAGCTGGGCTTTTGTGCTCTCTGTAAACGACGGAATACAGATTAATTAAAAGTCAATGTGAATAAGAACAAAAAAATAGAACGAAAATCGTAGCAAATTTCTACAGACTAAAAAAAATACGATCAAATGATGGCACAAAACATGCATAAATAAAATTCGAGTACAATACGAAACGTACAAATTATAAATAAAATTTGTCACTGGTAAAAAAACTCATAATATAGCAAAATTATCTCCTTATTCTCCCTGACCCTTTTTGGCAGACCAATGCAAATAGTTGGGCTGTGTAGCTGCCTCGTATTCCTGTACCAAGCAATCAACCACATCACGTGAATCATCCAATTCGGAAAGATCATCTTTGAATATATCTTCACGGCGGAATTGATCTAAGAATGCGCCACGTTTCTTGAGTTTATCATATTGCCCTAAGGCACGTTCAAAGAGTGAACAAATACTGGTGTGATTGGCCAACATAAGGCCAGAGACGCGATGGCTACTTTGCACATAGGGTGAGGAACGTGACAGAGCCACCTGGATGCTGGCCGGACCCCAGGGTATAAATTGTGCCAATTTACGTTCACGTATGCGTTGCAGAGACTTGTGCACCTGGGTGGGGTCCACCTCGCCTTGTATGATGTTCAAAATCGAGATATAACAATGATGATTAGTCTTGTCCGGACCTGTGGAAACCATCATATTTTTGGGTTGCAACAGGCGACGCATTACATCGAGCACTGTGGTTTTGCGTACATTTACCGTTTGCTAAAAATAAAAAAGATGTGAGTATTAAAAGTTATATAAATAAAACTCTGTGGTATTGCCTTAGCTTACATCATTGTCGGTTGTCAGGGGTGTATAGCCTGTCATTAGGAAATGCAACTGGGGCGTTGGAATAAGCGGTGCCGTCAAACCAATCAAATTATTATTCATATACGAAGGATAACGTAATGTTGTAGTGCTAACCGACATTATTGTGGAGACGAGTGTATTAATTTGTGAAAAACTTGGATTTTGTATGTGCAAGCGGTCCGTGGCAATGCGATTTAAGGCTGTATTATCCAAAACAACAACACAATCTGCACAGCTAGTCAAACGGCGTAGAGTTAACAATGAATTATATGGCTGGACCACAACATCACTGATCTCATCTTGATTGGGAAATACACTATAGGTTTGTATAAGCTTTTTGGGAAAACGATCCGATAGGCGTTCCATAATATAAGAGCCCATGCCGGAGCCAGTGCCGCCAGCAATGGAATGGCACAATACGAAACCCTCCAAGGAATCACTGCCATCGGCTTCACGATCAATGATATCGAAGACCTCCTCTTGTAATTTTTCACCCTGACTATAGCCTGAAGCCCAATTGTTACCAGCACCACCGCCATGTTTCGACAGGTAAACATTTTCCGGATTGTAAAGCTATAAAACAAAAGAAAACATTAAAAAAGTAAATTTCACCCTCTACGAAGTGAGACCTACCTTGGCATAAGGAGAACTCATAATAGTATGTATAACCCTAGGCTCCAAATCCAGCAGTACAGCTCTTGGTATATAGTGGTCATCATCGGCCTGGTAAAAGAAAACATCCTTCCTATCAACACCGTCAGTGGCGAAGTCTTCCAGGACACCATTCGGTGAAATGCCGTGTTCCAGACACAAACGTTTCCAGAATTCAAAACCAACTAAATGATCAAAATTGATTTTATATCAAATAAAATAAAATGCGCTTGCATGAAATATAAGAAGCATACTTTGGTTTCCACACTGCCCCAACTGTAAGGTTATTATTTCGCTTGGCATTGTCCTTACAATTTATCTCAATATCCGATTGGACTGGTTTTTTGGCGGATATTTTAAAATTACAGCACAAGTCCAAGCTTTTGTTCGCTTTGTTCGGATCTACCTTCGGTTCGTGCAAGGATCTACCTTGAGCGCGTGGGAAACCAAAATGAAAGACGTCCCCAACGAAACAAATAAGAAATCAAAAAGAAATGCCCGATAAAAAAGAACGAGAAAGCAAAATCCCCGAGGGACCTCTGTTGTTTACGAATGAGACATGAGGAAATCGAACCGCTGGCCACATTCATTAAATGAACCGGGGGAGTGAGTTCCTTCAACTCATTTGACATTTCCATCAGAATTGTTACCTTGTAATAATAACAAAAACAATATAATTTTTTAGAAATTAAACTGCTATTCTAGCTATTCTAGGCCAAACCTCCCGTTACGTTCATAAAGGTAAATACAGCGGCTTTGTTTTCTTCTTTAAGTTGTACCTAGGGTTGTCAACAGTTTACTCGACCAATTTTAATTGAATTGACACTGTAAGGACAGTTTCATGGTAAATTTAAGAAGGTAACAATTAATATCGAAGCCCAAGCCCTCTCAGATATTTTTGCATGAGAATGTCATGGAAGAAGCATCGAGTGTATTCACAGGGAAATGTGGAGCTCATTTGTCTGGTTATAAAGGGTCATTCTCTTGGGAATGACAACATTCGCAAATTTACATTAGGCAAGTTCTAGCGGCTGGTCAAATATTAATGGAATTAAGTTCAATGACATTTAGCGGAAATACCTCTCCTTATAAAAAGTTATAATGTATATTATTTAAAAACATTGCGAAATCATTTTATTTTGCAGAATTTTTTTTTTAAATTTTTGACGTATCAATGTTGATGCATCAACCTGTGTTCTTCTGCCATGGTTATTTTTTTGTAAATGCCTTACCTTGCCAATGCATACGGACGACTACAAAAGTAACCAATCACTAAAACATTGACAACGCCGTCAGCAATTTTGGCAAGCGCTGTTGTTTACATCCACTGGCAATTTCACAAGCACAGCAACGCGTCACTCAGCACTTTTGGACTGAACTGAACGAATTGACGCTTGCAAAAATAAACTAAACTATAAACAATTCTTATTATGGAAATTGAAAACAATGAAGAAAGTATCAGGAGTTTTGTTGTATTCGATTTAGAAACCAATGGCCTGCCAGAACAGCAATTCAACGCTTGCTCAATCACTGAGCTAAGCATGTATGCGTTTTCATCGGAGTGCCTTAAGCAATGTGCGCTGGACGCCCAGGATTATGTGAAAAAGTTCAAAACGGATGATTTAATGGAAGGAATCGCGAGATTAGATGTTGAAATACCCGACTTACCAAGATGTCTACATAAATTAACACTTATGGTTAATCCCATGAGAATGATACACCCTGAGGTGGAAAGAATAACTGGTGAGTATTTAAATGAAAAAATATTTCAGTTGCGGATCGACGGCATTGTTTATATTTCGAAATATACATTGAAAACATGTCTGACATTTCCTTATCTGATAAAATACACCTGGTTCTTATAAGAATAAAAGGAGTTGGATTTACACTATATTAGGGGACATACATTTATTTAATAACTATTTCTAAAATAACTCCCCCCCCCCTTTTTTTTCACTTCATACATTTCTTAAACTCTTATTTCTTTATCTTCTTTTAGGCCTCAATAACGAAATGCTGTGCGAAGAATCACCTTTTGATAAAAGAACAGCCAGTTGCATTCTGTCCTTTTTGGAAAGACTAGAAAAACCCATATGCCTTGTGGCACACAATGGTTGGAGATTTGATTATCCGGTCATGAAATATATTTTCGAAAAAATTAATATGGTAACTTAATTTCAGAATATATATTTTCCTATAATCATCTCACATCCTGATGTTTTCCTGATATTTCAGAGCATACCAGCGTCTATATATTGTGTTGATTCCTATAAAGCCTTTATTGAAATTGATGAAAAACAAAAGGAAATTGAGAATTTAGACACGAAACTAAAGGAAGACGAAGAAAGTGGCGATGTGAATATTGAATGTTATCAGCAAACATCATCAAATACAAATATCTGCGAGAAAAATCCCCTTGAAGCAAATGATGACATTGATTGGCAAAAAGCTAATGAAACGACTCCACATCGCAGTAAAACCAAAGGAACCAAACGCAAGTTGTGCGATACTCCAGAGCAAGTCAGTGGTGTATCGAAAAAATCTTTAAGCTCATTTAAATCACGTCGTGAATTATTTTCCAAACCATTTCAACCAAAAATGAAATATCCACCCAAGGATAAATTCAAATTGGGTAATATTTTTGAACGCACTTTCAAGCAGCCACCTGTAGATCTTCATCGTGCTGAGTCGGATGTGATGATTTTAACAAAACTAATTCTACATCATGGCTTACTCTTTTTGGCATATGCGGAAGAGCGTAAATTATCGTTTGCTATGGTCAACAAGTTGGGCCGCAGAGATTGAAAAAATTCAATTTCATCACTAGCCATAAAGTTTTTAAATTTATTGTGCATTTAATGTAACTATTTTAAACATAATTATTATTGTGATAAAATATTTTTGTGCATGCTCTAATGTTTTAAACTATATGTCTAAATTGTAATTTATTTTTTACAATACAATTTTATAAACAGAAAATTAAGGCAATACAATTTTAAAAAGAAAATAAAGACTACATACCATATATTTTTTTAAATATAAAACTAATTGAATACTTCAATTTATTTGTATGATTTCAATTCGTTAGGAACAATTCATCACAATTCAAAATTCGATTTACTATAATAATATATCTAAACATATAAGGTTATCCCACTGGATCTATTAAACCCAATGGGTTATCTTAAATCGCTACAGACATTTTATATATCCCTCGTTGCATAGTTTGTTACTACAGATCCCTATTGTTTGCAGAAAAGACAAAGAGGCGAAACCAATCTATCGTGACGGCGCACAACAATTTGCAGACTGGCAACGAAATGCTGGCCAGCGCTCAAAATAAAACTATTTCTTTAAAATAATCTTTTCACATTCAATCATTTAAAAAAGAAACAGTACAAGTGCGTTAAACTGTGAATGCTCTTTTTTATGTAGCATAGTAGAAGAATATGTTATGTAGCGATTCTAAGCCGGTTAGAATAAACAAATTCGGCGGCCGTTTAAGAACGGTTGACGGCGTTGTGTCGCCGTTTCACAATAGACTCACTTCCACCACTGTCATCACTGTGTGCAAATGTTTGGATTTGATTTTGCCGGCTGAACTGATCTGACTTTGGTAATTAAGGAAATCAAGCCCATTGAAAGACATTTTCGACAGCTTCATTTAGACTTGGATATATTAATCAGTATTAAGTGCTGTTATGCAAAGTCTGGCTTTGATTGCCATCCCTTTCATTAAAATAAATGCAAGTTATATGCAAGCTCCTGTATAGGACAGACTCTAGAGGACGTTTTAGGAACCACGCACAATCAGGTTGGTCATGCACAATATTGTGAAAACAAATAATGGCAATAATTATTTCTCTCAGCTAAGCATTTGAGAACGTCGCTTACTAAGGAGGATTATTTAGTAAAGGCAAACCCAAGCAACCACTGCACAAATTTGCAGCATTTAAATTTCTATGGAAAATGGACGATAGCAGTCAGTTAATTGTGACAGAGCAATGTAAGTTCATTTGGAAACTTTTCTGAAAACTTGTTAATATCTGTCTTTATATTCATTTTTAGCATCCCTTTCTATGTCCATGGAAGAAGAGTCCTCCATACTCAATAACAATGGGAAATTCAGCCAACTGGAACTGAGCTTACCAATTGTTGATGAAACCGTGACCGAGGAGAACAATACAAGCAGCGTGGGTGGCATAAAATTGAGTATAACAATGGATGAGGATGAAAAGAACATGCTTTCGAAACAAAAGGGTAGGAATATACGCAGCGATACCCTCTTGGAAAACATCTGTTATGGAACTTCCAAAGATAAATCGAACACAAAACAAACTGCCGATCCAAAAGTCCAAAGTAAAAGCATGGCAGACGACATAACTATGGAAGAAGGTGAAGAAGATGGCAGTATTACTAGAACCATAACGGAAACCGTGAATGCAACTGAAAAAAGTCAACTCGAAGAGTTGAATGATACCGAAGAAAAAGAGGATGAAGAAGACGATAGCGTAATTCCAGTAGATGAAGACGATGATGAGGAAGGCGAGGATTGTGAAGAAAGTACATTACAAAATAGCAATTTAGAGGCCAGTAATGCCACTGTTGCCAATAAAATGTTTCAACATTTACAACCTCAAGAGAAATCAATTGCCAAAGAAGCCTCCGTTGATTTGGAGGAATCAATGGAAACGGAAAATGTAGAGCAAAGTGTGGATATACCTCAAGATTCCTACATTGAAACAGAAGACTCGTCACAGTTGTTACCCGATGAAAATGGATTTTTCAAATACCCCCTTGTAGAATTAGGCAGACGACTATGGCCATCCACCGAACAAAAACAATGTTATACAAAAGGTTGCCTTTGGTCACCGGATGGTACATGTTTGCTGGTGCCTGTTCACATGGATGGTATGGAAAGGTAATTTTATGTTTGTGAGGATAGCTATGCTAATTTTTGTCGCTATGCCTTTCTTGTAGGTATGCATGTCTTGGAGTTACCCACAGATTTATATACAACCCAGGAATTGAATGCCAAAAGAGAATTAAGTCCATTGAATACGGCCGTCCACGTTAAGGAGGGTGGTATGGTTTACGATTGCTGCTGGTATCCATTTATGGCAAGTACAGATCCGGCAACATGTTGGTGAGTTTAGTTTTTATTAGTGGTATTTAAAAGTAAATCAGAATTAGTTGAATTTTATCTTTATATTCCAGCTGGCTGGCCACAAGACAACATGAACCCATACACATGTGGGATGCCTTTACGGGAGAACTGCGCTGTTCCTATCGTGGTTATGATGATGTCGATGAAGTCGAATCAGCCATTGCGGTGGCCTTCAGTAATGATGGCCAAAAAATCGTGGGAGGTTATAAGAAAAATATCAAGATATTTGATACAAATGTGTAAGTGGATAACTTGTTGATCACGCGGAAAATGATAGTGTATTGATTCGGAATTCAAACTTGGAAACGTTTTTTTTAGAAAAATTCAGTTTATGGGTAAACGTAACATTGAACTTCTTCTTCCTTTAGCAAAACCCCCCTAATTCTATAAACTCTGTTTATGTTTCCAAGTCAATCTTAAGTTAAAAATTTTTTAAAATTTCCATTAAAATAATGTCCCTTTAATTTTTTTATTTCCTTCAAAAAGACCAGGCCGAGATTACACCAGTGTGCCGGTTAAGCAAACAGTTTCGTGTTTTGCCTTCAATCAAGAAAACGATAATTGTGTTACAACAGGTTCCTGGAACAGCCATATATATCACTATGATTTGAGAGCCCCAAAATTGGGTCCACTCTTCGTTTTGGGTGGTCATACGGGTGGAGTAACATGGCTTAAATATTCGTCCTATAATACCGATAATTGGTATTTATTTAGTGGTGCCAGAAAAGACAATAAAATCTTACAGTGGGATATGCGTAATTATCAAGAACCTGTGAAGAGCTACGAAAGGACAGTGAAGACAAATCAAAGAATTTATTTTGATTTGAGTCCGCTGGAGAAATGGCTGATAAGTGGAGATACCGAAGGCTGCTTACGTATATGGGATATGGATGATAGGGAAGAATTAATGGAGGTTGGTTGGCTGCAATTATGGAAGGTATTGGAATATGTATTTTGATTTTCTTTGTAGATACCTTTACATTTTGATTGTTGCAATGGTGTTAGTTTCCATCCTACATTACCAATTATAAGTACCAGTTCGGGCCAGTACCATTTCACGGATACAAATTTGGAGTCGGATAAAATAGAAGAAAATTCTGCAGGGCAGAAGATTGTAGATTATGAAAATTCGGTGGTCTTTCTGTGGTTTGGTACTTCGTCGAATGTGGACTAAGGTGCATTAGTGTGTAAGTTATATTTGTTGTTTTTATTGAAATGAATAACGAACTTGAATTGGCAAGCGGAAAGAATCTGACTTGAAAAATAAATTATTTGAAATTTGATAAGATATTTAAAATTTTCTCATAGACGCAAGATATATAAAAATATCAGCAGACCTGACGGAACTACAAGTAAAAACTATAAAAATATGTGGGTTTCAGAGGTCTGCAAGAGATTCAATTATTTATAAAAAATCCTCCATCAATTATTTATAAAAAATCCTCCATGATCTGGATCTTCAAAAATATACTTACAAATTTTACGATTTAATATCACATCAAATGCAAGATGAAAGGTCTAAGGGCTTCAATAAACATACATTATACAAGATCTCAGGGAGCTTCAAATAAATATTTTTGAAAATCCGTGACTTCTATGTCCATGGTTCAAAGTCGTAATACCGCATCTATAGCCCAGAAATACTTCTACCAATCTTCATTCAAATCGGTATTGACAGATTAACGTATGGTCTGCTTGTTTTTCTTACTTTTTTCAAAGAATTTTCAACAGCACAAATAAAAATGCTCTTTAAATATCTACTACTTAAATATGGTCTTGTATTTATTTTCAAAAAAAGGAAAAAACACTACTTCATTTTGGAAATTACAAAATTTACTTTTTTTTTTGAAACATACAAGAAAAATAATAAAAAAATGCACACAAAAAAATTAAAATAAAAAACAGACAAACATACATTCATTTATTTGCATGTTGTTATGATGGAATACTTTTGTTATAGATAGATATTGATTGATGATGAGCTCACATTCTCACCTCATCCTCCCAAACAAAGCGGACGGACGGATAAGATTGGCTCCTGCCGCTCCCAATACGAACGCACACTCTCACACACACACAGAGACACGTAGTAAACAAACGTTCTAAAATCTCTTCAAGAATTCCTCGGCACAAGTACGAGCCCTTGCATTGACGGCCAATTTCATTTCACTGATTTCCTTATCGATTTCTTCCATAAAACTGATAACGAAATCGACCAGTTTATGTTTGTACATTTGTTCCGTATGGAAATTCGTTATGAGAAAACTAATGTCATAGCCATCGATGGGCTTGCGTCTCAGTATGATAAATGATTCGGCACGTCGCATCATGAAACGGGTGAACTTGTGGCACAGAATCTTCTCTATCTCATCCGCCTGTTTGACAGCGATACTGACGCGCACCGAATTGATGGAGGGTTCGATGAGAACACGTTCTCGTTCATTGCGCGATATAACAATGGGTGTGAGTATCAATTCTTTGCTGGAACACACTTCCACTTCGGGTTTATTATGGCGTTCGACCACTTGGGAGGGGAAGTCTTGTAAACACATTGCAGCCGTCAGGGAATGGCGAACAGCGGTTAGATATGGTTTCAGTGTGGCAGCCATTGTTGTTGTTACTTATGTAGTCTGCAATTTTTGTGGCAATATTTAATAATTAGTTAATAATTTTATATTTTTTCGGGTTTTTTGATTCACTAATGATTCACTGCTGATGAGCAGATAATTGATGGCAATATCGATATTTTATTTTAGAGAAATAGGTATCGATTAGTAGTAGTTTATCGATACATTAGAAGAAATGCCGGTACTAAAATTTACTCAGAAACTAATAGCATGTTTTCACTGGTAATTGAACAACGTTGTTTGCCTCAAAAATTATACCAAGTACTTATTAGAGTTTAAAATACATTCTTCCCTCTTAAAATCACGAAGACAAATAAAATCGTGCAAACGGCACGATTCGTAATTCATGGAAACAAAATTCCCTCTTCATAACTTTTGAGCAAAATTTTCTCAAAAAAAGCACTGATCTAAAGAAGATTAAATAATTGTTTTTCTTTCAAAGACCAATTGTATCAATAATTCCACATCCTTAATTAATATTTTATTCTGAAAATATTGACATTTTAAGTATACTTTATACTTTCTATTCATAATTTTCGATCTTCCTAAATTTTTGTAAAATTTCATAAAATTTTTCCATTTTGCGTTTTTAAATGTCATAATTTATTATAGATAAATGCTCTAATTTGTGAGGGATGGTGCACTTTTACATATAGTTGTGAGAGTGATTTAAATGGAACAAAAATTATTCGCTTAGAACACTTTATGTGGGGAATTAAAAAAGTATTTAATAATTAAATGTGGAACAACGAATAGAGAGCGAATCAGGTACCATTCGAACTTGGTATTAAAGAGTTGCCAACGTTTTGCGTTGAGGTCTATTCTCCCTCATACTTTACCGAAAAAAATTAAAAACGTTCCAAAAGAAACTGAAATCCAAAGCTGCTGAGTCTACTGGTCAGTAATTGAAGTAATTATATCTGGTGCTCTGTTAAGAAAGTTCATCAACAAATGAGTAAAGAAAAATATTTTTTTTATTTTAACAAAACATATACCCTTATACATGGCAATAGAAGAGAGGAGTAAAAAAAATGTGGAGAGATTGTAAAATTTACCACCACCTCGTTACTTGAAGGTTAAAAATTACAATATCTTTTTAAAAAATCGCTCTTAATTATCAACGCTTAATTTAGGTTTAGTTGTCCATTTTCACAGATTTCATAATTTTTGCTATTATACAGTTGTATATATATTTTTCCTTTGATTATAATGTTATTTTTATCATTTCCTTCCGTTCTTCTGTCAGAATCATTTGTGTGGTCATCAAAATTTGTCGTGTGGCCATGAGACTTCATATGTACATGTATCGTACACACTCACTAAGATCGATTGTCAGTGATGATTGGCAACATTTCTTCATTTATAGCATTTGAAGTGGTTGGCAATCGGCCCAATTACGGTTGTCGTTACTATGGTCGTCGTCGACTATATGTGAGAGTCGCCCTCGCCGTCGTTTTTTGGTATTATGGTAAGGCATAGAAGCGACATCGACAGTTTAAAATAAAAGTTGGCAACAATTAAAAAAACGTTGGCAACACTCCCTTGTTATTGACAAAAAAAGATATTTTTCTGGTATTTTGAATTCTAATTTCGACTCTTTCGGAAAAATAAAAAATATAGTGAAAAAATGAAGATTATAAATGCGTTACATATCTTAAGTTCAAGTGAGGATGAAGAGAAGAATGTATTAGTAGTGCAGCGGCGAGTGTTAAGGCAGCCAACAAACATATTTGCATTGCCTGGCTCTTGATTGTGTTGTTACAAAAGTGTTCAATAGTTTCTACTTTCCTTGTAGACTTTTTACCATTGTTTTTTGATCGACAAGCTTCAATAGTAGGTTACATCAGTCTCGTCATCAGCATTGTCCACTTGCTCATTTTCATGAACTATAACGTCTATTACACTTATGTTTTCCTTATTTTCTATTCCAAGTGCACGACCTGGTGGATTCAATAACTTTTGAAACTGCATTATATTCGCAACAGACTCCTCCAAAGTCATTTGCTTAAAAATGCCACATCCATTGCTGCTGGTTTCACCCTTGTTGTGCACAAGTTTTTTTTTAGTTTTAAATTTTAAATCTTTCCAAACCTAGAAGAATTTTAGAAAACTAACTAATAAAAACGTACAAAAATAATTTTCATTTTTACATACTTTTTGCCAGTCATCGGGGTCTCTAATCGGAGGCCCGTTTACATTTAATTTTGTAGCAATGAATTCCCAATCTGAATTAAAATTTGCTGGAACATGACCTTTGGTAAATCCTTTTGCCAAACATGGATTTTTTCAATTCGGAAACCAAAATGGCAATGATAATGGCAACCATTTGTCGCTATCGACAAAAAACGACAACCCTAATATCACTATTGTCGCCTCGACTTCATTTTGCGACGCCGACGATAACCGTAATAGCGCCGAATATGTAATAGTTCGAATTATAACGGTATTTGTTGTTTTTGCTTTACATATCTTCGTTTTATCAAGACTGCTTATAGTTTATAATAAAAACAAGAAAAATGCCAAGTGAAATAATTACCTTACAATTGGGGCAATGTGGAAATCAAAGTAGGTTTATATTCCAAGATTTAGGGGCTATACGTTAAATGCTTTAAATGACTTTGCAGTTGGTTTCGAATTTTGGAAACGTCTGTGTCTGGAACATGGCATTTCGCCGACCGGCATGTTGGAGGAGTTCACCACCGACGGTTTGGATCGTAAGGATGTGTTTTTCTATCAGGCCGATGATAATCACTATATACCCAGAGCTGTGCTACTGGATTTGGAGCCACGTGTTATACACACAATTATGACTTCCACATATGCTAAGGTAAGTGGGGGATACAATGGATTTCTTTGGATTATCTTGTTAATCGTTATTAATTTTAGCTTTACAATCCCGAAAATGTGTACCTATCCAAACATGGTGGTGGTGCTGGCAATAACTGGGCCTCCGGCTTTAGCCAGGGTGAAAAGCTACAAGAGGAGGTGTTTGACATTATTGATCGTGAGGCAGATGGCAGTGACTCCTTGGAGGGTTTTGTCTTGTGCCATTCGATTGCCGGCGGAACTGGCTCCGGAATGGGTTCTTATATGTTGGAACGTTTATCCGATCGTTTCCCAAAGAAATTACTACAAACCTATAGTGTATTTCCCAATCAGGATGAGATAAGTGATGTTGTCGTTCAGCCATATAATTCATTGTTGACACTGAAACGTTTAACCAATTGTGCTGATTGTGTTGTGGTATTGGATAATACCGCCTTGAATCGTATTGCCTCGGATCGTTTGCATATTGAAAATCCAACATTTACCCAGATCAATACATTGGTATCGACGATAATGTCGGTTAGTACTACGACGCTGCGTTATCCGTCGTATATGAACAACAATTTGATAGGTTTAACGGCACCCTTGATTCCAACGCCTCAGCTGCATTTTCTGATGACCGGCTATACACCGTTGACAACGGATAATGATGTGAGTTATGAGAGATATATATTTCAATACTTGTTTATATTTAATTTTTCTGATCATTCCTCTTGTTTTCTCCCAGACCAATGTCAATGTGCGCAAAACCACAGTCCTGGATGTCATGCGTCGCCTGCTGCAACCCAAAAATATGATGGTCTCCTCGGGACCGGATAAAACCAATCATCATTGTTATATATCCATATTGAATATTATACAGGTGAGATTTGGATATTCTGTTCTCAAGTCTTTTAAAATCAAATTTTCTTTTAGGGTGAAGTTGATCCCACCCAAGTCCACAAGTCGCTGCAACGCATACGAGAACGTAAACTGGCCCAGTTTATACCCTGGGGACCGGCCAGTATCCAGGTGGCATTGTCACGCAGTTCACCCTATGTCCAATCGAATCATAAAGTCTCCGGATTAATGATGGCAAATCATACGGGTATAACATCGCTGTTTAATCGTGCCCTAGCCCAGTATGATAAGTTACGTAAACGCGGTGCCTTTTTGGATCAATTCCGTCGTGAAGATATGTTCAAGGATGATCTATCGGAATTGGATAATTCCCGGGATGTTATCGACTGTTTGGCCCAGGAATATGAGGCGGCCACACAGAGTAATTATCTGCAATGGGTGCCCAGGAATCGTGGAGAATAGGAGGAGAGAGATAATTTGTTGTCGTTTTAAATCGAATTGTAATGAAAGTTATTTTAAGTTCCTTATGGTCACCATGCAAGCATGAGACATTCATAAAATTCCTGCCAAGAAAATATGAAATTTTTCAGAATTGGAAAAATATTACCATCTGAACATTTTTCAAAATTAAAACCTTAAAACTTAAATCAGAAAAAAGGTCCTTTTACTAGAGGGGTTCATAAGAGAGTTTTTACCAGAAGTTTATGTTAATTTTCATAACCAACACAAGGGGTTCCTAAATGCTATTCCATTTTTTTTGTATCTTCGGCAGAAAAAAAAAAACAACTTTCCCTTTAAGGCACAAACCAATTTAAAACATTTCAAGATAAAGTGCCTTTTGATAAAAAAAAAAAAAACATTTAAAATATGCACTCCTCCAATTCAATATGCATATGCTTTTAAAAATATAGTTATCTAAATTTTCAAAATCATTAACATAATTTGTCAAAAAATATTTGTGTTCAACGAAGATTTTTATCTGCGACAGACACTGAAGTGTTCTTTGTGTTACGAAGATGTTCGTGTTTCTGTTTCTTTGTGTAGTTTCACAGATTGTTATCAGGAAGCTAATTTATAATTTTATTACCATATACGCGTACAAGTATGTGTGACATATTTGGTATGAGTTTCTAAACTTGTCTAATAAAAATTAGTTTGTCTTTTTATCACAATTATGGCAGTGGCTGGAGATGATGACGAAGATGATATGAAGGCGTTTAATTGATTTAATGTTAATTAATTCTGTGTTGACGTCAAGAGAATAGTTGTGTAAAAATATCAAAATTTAATATCTTCAACAGACCCCTGTGGGTCCCCTAAAGACAACTTAAGGTCTCCAGAAGAGCTACATGTCTTTAAACGTCTTTAGGAATAGACCTTCAAGAACATTTTTTTTATAAAATATTTCAAATTAGTTATTAATACTTACAGTGGTTTTTAATAATTTTTGTATTTCATTTCAATAATTTATTTAAAAAAGCAATCAAGAAACATTGGTGAAATTAGCGTCCAGAATTGTTTTCTCACACTTCTATGTTGCTCCACAGACTTATAGACATTCAACACATATATTTGTATTATAATATTGTGAATTTACCATTTAAGTACCTCTATTTTTTCTATTTTTATAAAAAAACGAAACTTTAAACTTTTAAAATTTGCAACAATTTGCATAGTTTATAGGTCACACAAGGTACGAAAAAGGACCGTTTGCGTTGTCATCCCATCACTTTTTTCTCCTATATTATTTATGATTGGAGTAAAAAAAGCTCGAGAAAAATGCATGATGTGAAACATGGAATATAACTCCGTGCTGATATTCGTAATAGGGCTGAGGTGGATGTCTTCTCTTGTTAATTATAGAATAGGTTCTATAGTCATTCCTTCAAGACATCTAGGGGACTTTAAATTTGCACCAATTTCCTCAGTTAATAGGTCACACTAGGTACAAAAGAGAGCCATTGGTGTTGCTATCTCCACAAGTGATTTCTCCTCAAATATTCATAATTGGTGGAGAAAAACTCGGGGGAAAATGCACGAAATGAAGAATGGAATAGAATGTATACATCCGATGTGGATGTCTTCTATTGTCAATAATATAATAGGTTCCATAGTCATTCCTTGAAAACTTCTATTGTCCTTATAAAAAGGGGAACTTTAAATTTGCAACAATTTCCCCAGTTAATAGGTCACACTAGGTACGAAAGTGACCCATTGGTGTTGCAATCTTCACAAGTGATTTCTCCTCAAATATTCATAAATGGTGGAGAAAAAACTCAGGATAGAATTTAGCATCGATATTTATGAATGGGCTGATTGTATACATCCGATGTGGATGTCTTCTATTGTCAATAATATAATAGGTTCCATAGTCATTCCTTGAAGACTTCTTTTGTCCTTATAAAAAGGAGAAATGTAAATTTTCAACGATTTCCCCAGTTAATAGGTCACACTAGGTACGAAAAAGGTTTGTCGGCGTTGCCATCTCCCCAAATTATTTGTCCATAATTATTCATAATTGGAAAAGAAAAACTCGGGGAAAATGCATAAAATAAAGAATGGAATAGAATTTCAGGAAGATATTCATGAATGGCCTTGTCAATTATATAATCATTTAATGTAAAAGTACATAGAAAGCTTTTTTGACTGGCTTGAGTCATTGACTGACTTCTTCGTAGAGGACGAAAGGGTGTTAGGTTGACCTAGTTCGATGTTGGCCCTATACTACTTTGTTCTTTTTCGAAGAAGCCAGCCGAAGACTTAAGCCTGTCAAAAAAGCATAACACGGTTTTTTAACTGATTTAAGTCAACGGCTGGAAAAGAAGTTTTGGGTTGACTTAGTTCGATTTTGGCCCTAGGCTCATTTGTTTATTTCCGAAGAAGCCAGCCGATGACTTAAGGGTGGAAATACATAAAGCGCATATTTGGCTGGTTTAATTCATCGGCTAGCTTCTTCGTAGATTAACAAAGGAGTTTTAAGTTAACTTAGTTCCATTTTGGTTCTATGCTCCTTTGTTTATTTCTTTAAGAAGCCAGCCAGATAAGCGCTTTATGTATTCCAACTTTAAGCCAGCCACCCTTAAGCCCTAATATAGTGAGGTGCCAGATAAGCGCTTTATGTATTCCCACCTTAAGCCAGCCACCCTTAAGCCTTAATATAGTGAATATCAAACTTCTATGTTTCTCCACAGACTTATTAATATCCGAAAAATATATTTGAATCCCAATATTAAAAATTAGTTTGTTTACATTGCTTTTATTTGTAAAAAACAATTTAAATTTGCACAACAAATAGGATACACGAGTTACGAAAAAATACCTATTTGCATTTTTATATTTGAGGGAGAATAATGGATAAAATGAAAAAATGCATCTACCTGTATTATTCTAGCATTTTTTAAGAATATTTTTTATAAATTTTACCATGGGATAACTAAATAATTTGGCAATCCCAAGGTGTTTTATTTGCTATGGATGACATATATGTAGTATATGGCCTGTAGAAGACCCATAACCTAATAAATTACCTCTAGTTCTGTTATTGTTATATTTGTGTGTGTGTTTGTGTAATATCAACACCGAGTTGTCAGTGTTTGACATTTACCATACACAAATCCCCTTCCTCCCTAAGACTAGAGGAAGGGTTTATCTCAAAATAAACACTCACATACAAACCGATGAAATAGGTCAATCTAAATCGAGTTTAGATGTCAAATCAGAATATTTCAAATCCAAAAAAAAAAACACAGAGGAGTGTTTTTTTATTACTGCTGTTGTCTTCGTTGTTGTTGTTGCATCTATGCTCAACATAAATAACACAGTCCGACTTATTTGTTGGACAGTGAGTGAGTGGGCTTGTGTCTTTTGTCTTGGAATTGCCATCAACATTTCAGTGATAACTCAGAAGACCAGGAGGAGGACGGTACAATGAGACATTGAGACTCTACCTTTATTTAAATATCAGATTATTGTAATACAAACAATGCTACACACACACACTCGTACTCACAGCAATTGCCACGTATAGCCAATAAAATGTTAACAACAACATTTAATTAAATAATCGACAGCGATATGAATCGCTGAAACAAAAGACTGAATGGATGAGGAAAAAACAACAACAACAACAAGACAGTTGATTGTTTGGGTGTATTATGTATGTATGTTTGTATGTAATACATTGTGGTTAGCTTGGAAAGTTAATTTGCTGGATTATTGACTACCGTTACAATAGAATATCGCATTTAAATAATAATATTATAAATCAATTGAACTTATCTTGGATTTGAAACACACACACGAACGAACAAAATTAAATGAAACACAATGTTGCTACTGGCCTTTTTTTGGATTGGGAGATTAGAACAAATGGAATTGAATATCACAAGGCAATAGATTAAAACTTGACCTTATATAGACAAAAGGAAGACTCAAGGCTTTCTCTAGATTTTTAAAGATCTATAGGACTGCAAAAGAATAATAGGAAACTTCCAAAACCTTTGCGAATAAGGCTGACATCTGCAGACAAAAGAAGATCTCTTGGTTATCTATGGAGTCTGGAAGATAACTGGATTTCATTTGTACTGTGGATTATCTCTATCAGTCCAATCATGAATATCCCCTGCGGAATTCTATTCCTACAGGAATAATTGAGGAGGCATAATTTGCGAATATGGCAACGCTAATTTTCCTTTTTCTTACCTAGTGCACCCTTTTTCTTGTGCAAAATTGTTCAAATTTGTATAACTTTTGTGGTGGACTTCAGGAGTGTAAAATTTTTAATCTCCATAACCGATTTTCCATTTAAAATATCGGAAAAAATGCAAAATTAGTGAATTCTTGCATATTCTGGGAGCAGAGCAATAATAACCAGTTTTCTAAATAAATAAATTGAACAAAGTAAATTACATCAAATAAAAAATTATGGATAGATTGTGTATTCTTTGGTCTGTTCCAGAACTGCAAGAATGTACAAGTTTTTTTTTCCACGATAACCGATTTTCCCTTTATGAAATCAAAAAAATACCAATCAAGTAGAATCTTGTCACCTTCTTAATTTTATTATGGTTCTACCCATGGCACAAAAAGGAGGTAGAGCAAAAAGGAGGTAGAGCTTTGTAAAACTACATAAATGCAGCTCTGAAGGTGAGAATACATAAAAGACTTTTTTGGCTGGCTTCTTCGGAAAAGAACAAAGGAGCGTAGGGTCAACATCGAACTAAGTCAACTTAGTGACTTAAGCCTATTTGGTTGGCTAAGGTGGGAATACATAAAGGTTAACTAAGTTTGATTTTGGCTCTAGGGTCCTTTGTTCCTTTCCGAAGAATCCAGCCGATGACTTAAGCCTACCAAATAAGCGCTTTATATATTCCCACCTTAAATCATCGACTGGCTTCGTCGGAAAAGAACAAAGGAGCTTAGGGCAAAAATCGAACTACGTCAATCTTAAAATTCTTTGTTTCTCTTTGAAGAAGCCAGCCGATGACTTACGCCAGTCAAAAAACGTTTTTTTGTATTCTCACCTTTATGTACTCTCACCTTGAGGCTTTGTCCGTTTCCTGTCAGAATTATTCAAAATAAATTCAACAAGTTGTTTTCTGTTATTTGTTAAAAAATAATCAAAACTATTCAATCTTTTAATGCGCGCCCTGCAATGAACGTTTCTTTCCCTCACTGATTCTGAAAATATGTTGTTCTTGTTTTTCAAAACAATAATAGAATTG